TAGTTCCCAACTTATAAGTCAGTTCCTTGGGGACTCCGCATACAACCGAGAACGCATTAATTTGGTAACAGCCACCGGTCAGCGTATACCCGTCCGTGGAGAGAAGGAGATGGAGTTGAAGCTAGGCAACGTGATCTACCTGCATAATGTCATCGTGGCTGATATAATGGACGACTGCATCCTAGGCCTAGACTTTATGAGGAATAACTGTTGTAAGATCGACGTTAAGCAAGGTGTTTAGAAATGTGGACAGGAGGAACTTTTTATGGAAGGTGCGTTACCAGGGAACGTGTACAGCATTAAGAAGATTGTTCTTCCGCCAAGATCGGAAAGGATTGTTCCGGTTAGTCTTCCTCGAAACGCTGGGCAAGCTCACCGTTGTGTTCTTGTGGAAAGGGTAAACAATGACCTTCTATGGAAAGTAGCTCGAACCTTGGTCAGAACCACTGACATCACAGGAGTACGTGTGCTGAAACTTTGTGACCGAAAACAGATTATAGAAAGAGGCACACTGGTTGGTACTTGTGAGGAAGTGGATTGGTTACGTCGGTGCCAATATCTATCGAGTGAGACCCCCAGTAAGGATGCACAAACGAGAGTGACCACACTTTTGGAAGACTTTTGGAAGTTCTCTTCCCGAACGAAATGGTCAAGGCGGAGAAGTTGTTACTCAAGTATGCCAATGTATTCTCATCAAACGATGCTGACATAGGAAAGACTGGCTTAGTTCAACACAAAATAAACACAGGAGAAGAATTGCCTATCCGTCAGCGGCCAAGAAGATTGCCGGTAGCACGTGAAAAGGAAGTGGAAACCATGATTGAAGGAATGGTAAAGGATGGTGTTATTGAACCTTCCTCTAGTCCATGGTGTTCACCCGTGGTGCTGGTAAAAAAGAAGGATGGCAGCATGCGGTTTTGTGTTGACTACCACCGTCTGCACGACGTTACGAAGAAGGACAGCTATCCCTTGCCAAGAATTGATGACACGCTGGACATGCTTACAGGAGTAAAGTGGTTTAGCACGCTGGATCTAAAAAGTGGCTACTGGCAAGTTGAAATTGACCCTAAGGACAAGAAGAAAACTGCGTTCTCGGCGGGAAAGGGTCTGTGGCAATTTAAAGTAATGCCGTTTGGGTTGTTCAATGCACCAGCAACGTTTGAAAGGCTGATTGAACTTGTACTTACCGGGCTAATTGGCGATGCCTGTCTGGTCTACTTGGATGACATCATCATCGTAGGCCGTACGTTTGAGGAACACCTTCAAAACCTGGAACGCGTGCTCATGAAGATTCAGAGTGCCAACCTCAAGTTAAGTCCGAAGAAATGTCCACTATTCAAACGGCAAGTTTCGGAAGAAGGTATCCGCACGGATCCAGAGAAAATCGCCGCTGTCAAGGATTGGCCGGTTCCAAAAGACAAGACGCAGGTTAGAGAATTTTTGGGTTTGTGCTCCTACTACCGGCGATTTGTGAAGAACTCTGCAGATATAGCCAAGCGACATTTCTGCTGGGATGAAAGTTGCAATATCGCATTCCAGGAGCTCAAGGACCGTCTGTACAAAACACCTATTTTGGAATACCCTGATGCAAGCAAAGAATTTGTATTCCAGGAAACTTGCCGAGTTATGGGTACTCATAAAACAAGAACGACTTCTTATCACCCGCAATCTGATGGAATGCTAGAAAGATTTAAGCAGACGTTGGAGAGGTACGTAGTAAAAGTTGTAGACAATCTGCAACGAGATTGGGACAAGCACATACAACCGTTTTTGTTGTCATATCGAAGCGCTATTCACGAAAGTGCATCCGTGACACCAGCTTTCGCAAAGTTTAGGAGAGAATTACGGCTGCCGCGGACCTGATCACCGGGATACCACCTGATGCCCCACGCAGTATAACCGATTATGCAAATGACTTGCGGAACAAAATGAATGACATTTATGAGCACGTCAGACAATCGGGCCAGCAAATGTCTGAAAAGATGAAAACCCGGTACGACCGCAAAATGAACAACAAAGGGTTTGACGAAGGTTCACTAGTGTGGTTGCACAATCCAGTCCGCAGCAAAGGGAAATCTCCTAAGCTTCAAGCTAAATGGGACGGCCCGTACCGGATTGTGACCAGGATCAACGAAGTAACCTACCGGATACAGAAAGGCGCAAGTGGGACTCCTAAGATCGTCCATGTGGATCGCCTGGCGCGTTATTATGGGGCCGATAATTCTCGGGACGAGCATGTCTTAGGAGGGGGCAGTGTTGCGCGGCTAAGTTGACATCTGGCACTAGCACCATTTAGTGTCGGGTAACAGAGCGAGGAGAGAGCTTTCCAGAAAATGACATCACTAATCTTTCAAACGACAGCGCCATCTGTTGTCGAAACGAAGAACTAAGCTTCTAGAAGCTGAGACTTGAACTTTCGGCGCTTTGTCGATTGGTGCGCGTATTTACTTGAATGTTCTGGATGATTCGGTACTGTGTATTTATAGGCGCTGCAAGGTGCGATCGGGAAGTATTGAATTTGTGAGACAAGCGAAGCTTCGGAGCGAAATAAAGTGAATCAGTGTGATTAATTTTTAGTGTTTTATGTTGGTGTAAGGGGTAAAATGCCGATATTGGAAAATTTTGGATTACAGACCAGGAAAACTCATTTTGCGAAATGAAGAAAGATCTATGCAATATGCAGACAAGACCCAAGTTATTGCCGATGCCAGTCCTGTTTGATTAGGGGCGGTGCTTATCCAAATTAATTCAAAAGGACCTAGAATAATAGCATTTGGAAATAATAGTTTAACAGACTATCAAAAGCGTTACTGCCAAACTGAAAAGGAAGCTAACCTTAGTGTGGGCTGTAGAACATTTTCTAATATATCTTTATGGTAAAAGTGAGTTTGGACTGATAAGCGATCATAAACCATTAGAAATTATTTTCGGAAGAAGGTCTAAGCCTTGCGCCCGAATTGAAAGATGGGTTCTTCGGTTGCAAGCCTATAATTACAAAATTGTGTACCGACTAGATAAATCGAATATAACGGGCCCCCTTTCAAGACTTTGTACTTCTAAATATAATTCAGTAAATACAATACGTAATTTTGATGAGGAACATATCAGGCATATAATTGAATACTCAAAACCGGTAGCCGTATCGCTCAACGATATTGAGCAATTTTCCAAGCAGGATTCTGAAATCGCTAAAGTAAGACAAGGCTTACAATCGAGTACCGGGGATCATACCAAATTACGAGTATAATGTACGCAAATTATAAAGTATTTGAATCGGAGCTTTGTTTCCAAGATAATATTTTACTTCCCTTGAAGTACTTGAGGTACAAAAATTGTTATTCCTGAAAAATAAAGACTGCAAGTATTGCAAGCCGCTCACGAGGGTTACCCTGGTGTTGTTTGTATGAGACAAAGATTACGGACAAAAGTATGGTGGCCTAAAATTGACAAAGATGCAGAAATAATCTTAAGAAACTGTAAAAGTTGCACATTAGTATCTGTACCAAATCCACCTAATCCAATGAAGCGTAGTGAACTACCAGTCGAACCATGTATTAATGTAGCTATTGATTTAATGGGACCTTTGACCCTCTGGAGATTTCCTGTTAGTTATCGTTGATTATTACAGTCGTTATAAGTAAGTAAAAAAAAGACAAAAAGTGTAACTTCACATGATAATATTAGGTTATTAAAAGATATATTTTCACCGCTTGGTTATCCAGTACCAATACCGCAGATAATGACAGGCAATTTGTTAGTCAAGAGTTTAGAAATTACCTGCAGGAAAGTGGTTTAATTCTTCACAACACAATACCATATTGGCCCCAACAGAATGTAGAAGTGGAAAGACAAAACTGAAGTATCCTAAAACGTTTAAAAGTCATTCAGGTTGGAAGAAAAAATTGGAAAGAAGATTTATTTTACTATCTGATGATGCACAATAGCACACCCCACTCAATAACTGGTAAAACTCCATCCGAACTATTCTACAAACAATAATTTCAGGATAAAATTCCATCATACATAGATATTGAAAATTAACAAGTAGATTCAGAAGTTAGAGACAAAGACGCATTGCAAAAAGAAGCACGACCACTTTTAAAAAAAAAATTATTGATCATGCATGGAATCAGAAATAAAAAAAATTAAGAAAAAGGAAGAGATGTAGTGTATAGACAATCGTCTAATTAGCCATCGCTACTAGGGTATAAATACCCTCCGCTTTGGGGACATCGGGCTTGCGCTCTCCTTTCTGCCAAGGAGGGTCGCGTTCGTATACGGCTTAGAGATCTCTCGTCAGATCGGTAAGCCAATCCATAAAGGCGGTATTTAGTGTTTAAAAGTCTCCACATAACCACGCAGCCGGCTGCATGGTATGCTATGAGGATATTCACCGGCTCCCTCCCCCGCTTTCCGGAGGGTTGCCCATATTTGCTTCGGGCGCAAAAAAAAAAAGGAACATCCTGGCATTTGAATTGTAACCGGTGAGTAGACAACATCTCTGTTAATACGTATAACCGATAGATGTGTACCGTGTAAAGTGAAGTGTTGGTGACATTGTGTAATAAGTGGTACCGTGTACATTGTGCAAAATAAAGCAGCGTATTGTATAGATGGTGATATGAATCACAAGTTTTTTATCCGCTATGTGCACACTGACTCTCCTCGTCAAATATTCTTTGAATTACGCTGTCGTTAAATTCTCTTAAAAATCTCATATTGTGTCAAATAAGCATATTATAAAAAACGAAATACATGATGTGAAAATAGGCTGTATATTTTAAGACCTTTGCCTACCTTAAATGGTGATTACTAAAACATTAATCTATCACTGTCGTTGTCAGTTGTCACTGTCACTCAAATCTCAAACCCACGTTGTTTTTGAACTGTAGTGTCTAGTGTCGATAAGACTAATTCTTATTTCTTACCATATTATTTATTTACCAAACTCTGTTAAAAACCCTAGTAGTTAACGTGTTCCTAAAGTAAATAAATTAATAATGGCTGTACGTACATTTTTAATTCATTGATAATTTTATGATATTCGCATTTCATCACTACCACGGTAAAAAAATATTTCTTTTACAGAAAAAAGGCAAAGTGAAGATAAGCAAAGTTAAAAGAAACAATCAGACTACAAATAAAATGAAGAAACAGGGTAAATTACGTCTTCAGAGACATAGAAACAAAGTTCAGAAGCAAAAGCAGCCAGTGCAGACTCAGCAACCAATGTATAGCAGTGACAGTGAATCAGCGTCTGGAGACGAATGGGCCGATATGTTGGACGAAGAAGAACAGAAGTACATAATGGCACGACTAGCAAAACAGCCTCATCTACTGTCTAATGTTCCTGAGGAAGAGAAAAATGATACTAAGTTAGAAAATTCTTAAATTACTTTATTGCAAATACTACTGTATAGTCAAACTCTCGGGTAAGGTTTACAATTCGGTCGCCTGAATTAGGGGGTGGGGGTGATGTGGGGGGAGGGGGAGGAGTTGTAGAGTCGCCCCCTACTTCCACTTTCTGCCGGACGTGCTTAGTTTTTTTTTTATAAATTTTTAAGAATCTCATTTTGAGGTTATGTTTCGTAATTGTTATGACAATTTTAACCTGATTTATGGGGAGAGAGAGTTGGGGGACGGAAGCCCCACGCCACTTAACGTGGTGCAGTCGAGGGAAGCCCGGTCGACGGAGCCCCGCTTTGTGGGGCTCCTACTTCTGAGTGGTTTACAAAAAAATAACCACGAAGGGGATGACGGGGTCTATTCGCTCGCTCACTCGACCCCGTCATCCCCTTCTAACCTAACCTGTCCGAGTCGGGGTGCCCCACGTCCTAGGCTTACTTCGCTCGCTATTGCACCCAATATAACACCAAAACATTAACTTTTATAACTACTTTTAATTTATAAACATAATTTATGGCTGCCACCATTTGTAAGAAAGGATCTTTGCGATATTTAGCAGTATTCCGCCGCCACAAATATTCCACTATTCACCAAAATTATGAAACTCTGAAACAAAGGCATGACGAAAAACTGTCAACAAAATGGCTGGCCTAGCGATTAATTTTACACATTTTTAAATCGATTCAAATCAAAAAAAAATCGACATTGTAAAGATCGATTTCGCAAAAATCGATCTTTTTTTGATTTGCGTTATCAAAAGATACAATAAAGTACAGATCACATTGAGTGATTGAATTAAAAACTGTCATTCTTTACGAGTTAGGGTATATTCAACTAATTGTAAATAATTTTACAAATCTTAATAAAACAGAAAAAGTTTCGATCTCGATTCTCTAGGGTGCAATATCGATTCACTAGATCGATTCAGTACTATATATCGATATGACATTGACAGATGAAACGTCAAAAACGTAATTAGGTAATTAGTCATTTACCAATATTTTTAAAAAATAATTAAAAATATTTCGACGCTGCTCGGGCAGCAAAAATCGAGTGGGTGTGCTTCAGATAAACCCCCTTGACCCCCCCACAGTGACAGAATCTTCAAATTCAGGCGACCGAATTGTAAACCCAACCCAAACTCTCTGTTATAACAACATCGAAAGCACTATTCATATTTAGTTGTTAAAACAGATTTTTAGAACCGGTTATATTTTTAATGGGGAGTATTATTAAATGTGTAGATGCATATAAATTTCTCGTAAAACTTATAACATGATAGAACATTATTGTTTTTCTGTATTCATGAAATCTGTAATTTTAGTCTGTTTGGAACATGGTCTGTCTTGTGTATCAATTTTGTAGTTCACTTTAGTTTTTAATTAGTGTATCATCAGAATTTCCCTAGATGTGAAACTGTTTATTAAAAAGAACAATCTTGCATATTAAACTAACAACATTGAGACCAACGACTACGCAGCCAGAGTTCGGGCTGTGTAGTTGTTGATTGAGCCCATCATTCAAAGTCGGCACTGTAAATTGTTATTCAGTCTCTTGAACCTCTTGTAGAATATCATATCTTCCATAGCTGGTGCAGTAGAGCTATCTGCACCAATAAACTTATTTCAACAGTAGATAAAACAGGTTGTAAATTTTTGTATTTGTTTGGAAATCGGCTCTCTAGTTTTGATATAATATGCAATTTTTCTCAATTAACTCGTTAATATGCTTTGGTGCGTCGTGTGTACAGACAAGTGGGCTTTGATTATACTGCTTGCAAATGTATTATAATTTTGAGAATTAACAAAGACCCTAAACTTGACTCGTTTTTGTTTACATTGGTGTTCTTTATAGCCATTGATTGACCATTACGAGGGCGGCACTGAAAATTTCGGGAATCCAGGAAGTGACACAACATTACTATTTAGAAATGTATTTATTGCTTTTCGAAGTATTCTCCGCGAAATTTGACACATTTTTCCATACGATGGAACCAATCATTGAAGCAACCATTCCATTCGGAAGTTGGAGTCTCCAAAATGGCCGTTTTGTAGGCGTCCACAGCTTCTTCAGGTGATAAAAATCTCTGTCTATCTTTATTTTAGGGAAAGTATAGAAATCATTAGGGCTTAGGTCGCGGCTGTACGGCGGATGGTCTAATAATTCTATGTTTTCTTGCACTAAAAACTCTTTTGTGCTGTGTGCGGTGTAAGAACTCGCATTGTCGTGATGGAGAATGAAGCGGCAGTTGCAGTTCTCTTTACGAAGTTCAGAAACGACCTGTGGCAAACAAATGCTAGCATACCATTCTGCATTAACCGTTCCTTGTCCATCAAGAGGAATAGTTGTAACATGGCCGGTTTTGGAGACAAACGTGGCCACCATTTTTTTTGCAACACTCCGTGAATGAACAATTTTTGTTGGCTTTAACTCATTTTTGAACACCCAAACTCGTGACTGGTTTTTTATTTCGGGTTCGTACGCATATATCCAGGATTTGTCACCTGATACGATGTTGTATACAGCATTTGAGGATCCTGCGTGGAATCTTTCGAGAGTTCTGACGCACTAAGTAACGTGAGCTACTTTTTGCTCTTCACAGGGTGAATGCGGTATCCATCGGGAAAACAACTTTTTTACACCTAATTGTTCATGCAAGATTATTTGTATTTGATTCATGCCAATGTCTAAAGTTGCCTGAATTTCGCGGCATGTCACATGTCGATCTTCCTCAATCAGCTTACGCACAGCATCAACGTTTTCTTGGGTGACTGTAGTTTTTGGACGACCTTGACGGGGATCATCACTGAGCTTGACACGTCCACGTTGAAATTCAGCAAACCAGCGATAAATTGTGGTTTTGGATGGGGCTTCACCAAATGCAGAAATCATCCGGTCAACACACTATTTTTGTGTTAAACCACTTCGAAAGTCACAATAAATCATCGCTCTTGAATTTTCTCGAGTCAATTCCATTTTCTCAACAACTAAACAAGTTTGACAAAACCTTGTGACAAGACCGAGAATCTTTTTTTAAATAAAAAAATGGTATTCGATTTTTAACCAAGGAGTTTTCAAATAAATAGATTTTAATATTACAGGAACAGTGGAAATATTCCATTCCCGATACTTTTAGTGCAGCCTATGTATATTGTGTCGTATGTGAATACTGTTATCTATTCAAATTGTTTACAATACAGCTGGTCCTTCTAACAGATACAATTTTCTGGAAATATTTGTTAAATAAATTCCATTAATGATATATGTTGTAAAAAGCATTTTATAAAGCAATCCATCTTTCAGCCGGGACTTATGAATTTGATCAAAATAACTAGTATGTTGTTATAAATGATGTTGTAAACAGTTTTAACTGTATTACTAATTATATATACAAAATGTAACATAATTAACGCACTTTGAGAAAGTAGTTTGTTCAGAATCGTTAACTGAATCGATTCCATCATTTTTGATATAGGTAATATTTTATCCCAAAAATAATTAAAACTACGTAAATTGCAGTCACACTAAATCTGTACAGTCAAAACAAACTGAAATGGACCGTAACTTAAGGCAATAAGACTTGAGAGTGCAGTTTTATTTGTATTATTACTAATTCTGTCATTCAATAAAAATAAAGAAAAATGAAGTTTATTTCAAGCATGTTAAATTCTTTAAGTTTGTGGATTTGTACTGTGACCACAAAATTCTTCCGGAACTAGTATAACTAATTTGATAAATAACAGTGCATAAAATGTTTAACTAAAAATTCAGTGTATGTATTATGATTATAACATAATATACTAATTGGGGTGTCTGAGGGTGTGCGTTAATTACGTTACATATTGTTATATATATATATATATATATATATATATATATATATATATATATATATATATATAACCATATACACTGTATAAAAAGATATTGTTTTATTTACTACTAAAATTTTATGAACCTGCATAAATATTTTAAAACTCACAGAAAACCTAAAAAGCGCAAAAGAATAAGTATGGACCAAACTCCTGCAGATATGGATCTAAGCAGTGATAGTGGAGCTGATACTGAAACTGATAACAGTGATGTGGAAGAAAAATATGAGATGGAGATGGCAGAGCGGCCTGTAAAACGACTTCGTCCATTATTACCTATCAAAACTAAAGATGGATTTTTGGAAAGAATGGAAGAGTGCGAAGGTAAAGTATTATCAAGAATAATTAAATTTGATTTCCTAACCAGTATGTGGTCATGTGAGTTAATGGGTAAGTTCAATGCAAGAAAAAACTCCTCAATGCCTTATCTCAGTTATATACTAATACCCACTTTGTACATTTATTTCTTTCACTTTCTCTTTAATATTTCTCTGATTGATCTACCCTGTGGCATGCTTCCATATTGTAGGGTTTTATTCACTTATTTTACCATGTTTTATGTAAGGTTATTGAACATATATTTTATGTTATATTAAATATATATTTTATTTTAATAGATCTTATTTTTTACATTGTAAATATATCCCATTATACTATGGTAATTCTCACGGATGAAGTGATTGCTGCCAACAGATTTTTATAATTAATTGTACTGTTTACTACATGATACTGTGTTTTTGCTAGTTTTTTCAATAAGTATTATTTATACAATTTATATTGATTGAATTTGTTACTTATTATAATGATAGAATTATTAATATTTATATATTTTATTGTAGAAAGTAGCTAATGGACACCTGTAACTCTTTTCTAAGAGAAAATTATCTGTTGTTAGATCCTTTTTTACCTTTAAGTACTAATAAGGCCTAAATGAACGTAGGCCTGTGCCCAGCAGTGGGACATATATAGCCTGTAACTTTACTTTTACTAATAAGGCCCTACAGCCTGTAAATTTTATCACTCTCATTCTTTAACTGGAATATATCAGTGGTATATTCACTTTTTTATTTTTCCTATAGATACGGAATCAGATCAGGAACAAACAAATGAAGCTCCAGTATCTGAGAGCAAAGATGAAGAACTGCAGGATGCTGACTCGGATTCAGGATTGGAGGGCACAGGGGAAGAAGGTGAACCATTTGAAGATGTTGTTACTACTGTGGAACTGTTAGCAGCAAGGAGAGACAAGCTAAGACACGAGAAGTTAAGAATTGGAGCACTTTGCTCATCATTGCTTGAAAACCCAGAGAAAAAGGTATTTTTTTCTGCTACATCTACTTATGTATCTAAACTAAACATATCTTTCAAATTAAATTACCTGATAGAGATTGCACCATCTGATAACTAAACACAGCTAAACTGTACCCAACTGACAGTCTTTTTCTTATTTTAAAAGATAAATTACTACATTTTTTTTATAGAATAGGGTGACAAACAAGCACACAGTCCACCTGATGGTAAGTGGTTGCTGCGGCCCATAGACATCTACATCTATCCTCCATTAAAAATCAAAATGCAGATGCGTTGTCACCCGTGAGGACTGAGATGGAATGCCTCGTTTCCAGTAAAAAGGATCTCCGGATCTCTACACTCACCATACGAAACACAGCAGCATCAAGCTACTATTTCACGCTGGTATTCTGTGAGAGCGTGGTCCTTCCCCGGTCGAGCCGACCCATTCGTGCTACAACTACATCTATATATATCTACATCTTTTAACCGATGATTCTCTGCCAATGTCAAGGTTGGGAAATATAAGGGAATATTACCAAAAGTAAAAGAACTGTTGAAGTGTTTTTTGACTTCTAGTTTCAAAGATGATTTTGTAAGTAACAGTCAATTTGTAGGAGTAAACATAAACATGCTACTTTTTAGGGTTCCGTAGTCAACTAGAACCCTTCTCCCGTCCTCGCTTAATCTCTGTGACCGTTAGACTAGAAAGCTGAAATTTGGTACCAATATGTGTATCAATCACGCCGACAAAGTGGTAAAAATAAAAATTGGAAAAAAATGTTTTATTAGGGTAGCCCCCTATATGTAAAGTGGGAAGTGATTTTTTTTTTCAATTTCAACCCTAACTTAAAGTGTGATATATTGTTGAAAAGGTGTTTAAAATTGAATAGGGGTTACTAAAATCATTTTTGATAATGTCAATAATTTCGGAAATAATCGCTCCAAAAGTAAAAAACAATGTGTCCCCCCCCTCTAACTTTTGAACCATAAGTTTAGGAAATAAGAAAAGAATCTGAAAAGTAGAACTTTATAAGGACTTTCTAGGAAAATCATTTTGAACTTGGATGGAAACAACAGTTTTTGTATAAACTCATAAGTGGGAAAACTTATTGTGACGGACGGGAAACTACGGAACCCTACCCTGTGCGTGGCCCGACACGCTCTTGGCCGGTTTTTATAGAATAAGATGACAAACAAGTACACAGTTCACTTGCTGATAAGTGGATACTGGGGCACTTAGTCATCTACCTTTGTCCTCAGTAGGGTATTTTACACCATGTAAAATAAAATAAAAAAGCATACATTTATTTTGTAAAAAGTTAACGAGAAATATTGATTTCTGTTTATAAAATTGCATTATTTTTATATTTTATCAGGTTTGGGCTGGGGTGTCCACCCTAAACGTTTATGGAACCTCTATATTAGTATTATAAGGAGTCGGTTTGATTATGCGAGCTTTTTGTACGATAACAGTAGTAAGACTAATTTATTTAAGTTAGTAAAAATTCAAAATCAGTCAATGAGAACTATAGGAGGTTATATAAAAAGCACCCCTATTCACGTCATGGAAATCGATCTCATCTTATGCTCATTACATTAAAGAAGACGTTACCTTCCAGGCAAATTCTGGTTAAAAAATAAATCCGGTTTAAATAACTCTTCCATTAATCTTATCTCTAATCTATCCGATACCATTTAAAACAGGTATTTTTTTATATAGAAGAGGGGGCAAACGGGCATGCGGCTCACCTGGTAAGTGACTACCGCCGCCCATGATCAACCGCAACACCAGGGGAATTGCAGGTGCGTTGCCGGCCCTTTAGAAAGGAGTAAGCTCTTTTCTTGAAGGTCCCCAGGTCGTATCTATATTATTATACAGTATTCTAAGAAAAAAAAAGGTTATCATGATGATTATTGAGTTTTATTCCGAATTTTATTGAAAAGGCATCATGGAAGACTAATTTGTAAAAGCAGAAAGTACTAATATACCAAGGATAAATAAATAATTGATAGTGGCAAAATTTTTTGCTGCATATATCTTATTGCCAGTTTTAATCAACTATTTCTTATATTTAAATACTTGGTACTTGAATCCATAACTTTCCCAGCGTTCTTATGCTCGTATTTTTGCATTCAGGCACAACACAACATAGATTATAATTCATTATCAAACATTAAAAAGTATTTTATTCTTTTGCAAAATCGGCAAAATCGAGGACAGTAACGTCTCGAGTTGAACAGCATGGCGGCTAGCGTTTTCACGCGAGAATTTAAAACGATAGATAAAGTAATTTTTATGCCACTATTGGGTTTAAAAAAATTATAGTGGTTCATTATCACTCAAAGATTAATTTAAAACAATTTTTGAAAATGAAATCTATCGAAATTCAAATTATGCCCACCCTACTTCATGAACGGTAATATAACAATAAATTTAATAGGCAAATTTGTCACTTCGCAGGGTCACAGGCTCAAGGGCAAAGGGCAAAGTTAAAAAATTGTTAAGTTCAAAAATTTTTTTTAAAATTTTTAATTCAAAACGTTTGTTTTTATTTTTTGTAAAATATTAGTGCCATAGGCTTCTACTCCGTTCACATTTTACACCCTATTTTTTCCAGATGGAAAAAAAGATCATCCAGTATATATAGTAATAGTATATTCAATGCTAAGTAGCTACTGCAAACAATATGAGTCTGCAAGCCACTTAAAATAAGTAGTAAATTATTTGTTCAGCTTTTATTAATAATATTCATTGTCATGGTTGCCTTCCCTGACAATTAAGATGGAATGACTCATGGTCTGTAATTATGTTGGCTCTCTTTTCCTTTGATCCAGAATAAAGCATACACAAGCTGGGCACTAGCTTATGGGCTGTATTATAACTATTACTGTAAGCTAATTGATAGAATCAGGCGTTACTTTGCGGAAATCCATTATAATAAAGATATTAATAGTTACTTTGCAACCATCCGCTGAGTAATAAGTGACTTAGCGCTCAGCCGCCGTAGAGTCTACATCACCTGAAAATGCCTAGTGTAGAAGCGAAACACGTGTCGTATTATCGTCGATGGTGTGTATTGCCTGGAATAGTGGCGTTGGGAGTAGTGGTGCTGGGATTAGTGGTGACGGGATTAGTGCACGCAATTGAGGGGGGGCAGGAGGTGCTCTTCAAACTAGGTAAGGCACATCATTTGATTTTATTCAGCGGATGGTTGCAAAGTAACTATTAATATCTTTATTACTGTAAGCGCTTGCAACAAACCTTAATCAATAAACAACAAACTCAAAAATCTGCATCACATCTCTTGAGTTTGTTAAATTTGTAGTTATAAACCAGTATTTTTATGCATCTTAAATTTTCCAGCTAAAAAACCTGTTCCCAATACTGTACCTGATGGAGGAGCACCTCAAGGACGGCACCCCGAACCTGGTGTCTGTGAGGAAGCTGGCAGCCCTGTCCGCTGCAGAGGTGTTTCGTGATATACTACCGGACTACGCTATTCGCCACCAGGACTACTCTGATGTGAAATGTAAACACTCATCTTCATTACTCCATAGGATACCTAAAGATGACAAAGAAGTGCACATTGTATATCTTAGTCATCTAAAAGTTACACTATCTATATACAAAATAGATGTATTTACGTAACAAATTTTTTAAATGGTAGAGCACTACATATATTATGGTTGTAGCATGAATGGTTCGGCTCGATTGGCGAAGACCACACTCTCACAGAATACCAGCGTAAAATAGTAGTTTAATACTGCTATGTTTCGTATGGTGAGTGTAGAGAACCGGAGATCCGTTTTACTGGAATTTAAGCATTCCATCTTAGTCCTCAAGGTTAACATTGCATCTGCATTTTGATTCTTAAACGTCGTTAAATGTAGATGTCTATGGGATACCTGATGGTAAGTGGGTGCCACAGCACCCACTTACCATCAGGTAGACTGTGTGCTCGTTTGTCACCCTTATTCGATAAAAAAACGCAAAACTAATTTTGTAGGTACTAAACTTTAGTATAAAAACATTTCCAGCAAAATATAAGGACTTATTATTACGTGAAAGCCATCATAAAACTGCAAAAAAGATAACCCAAAAATATATTTCTAAAATCTTTGCAAAATGTGGTGGCCTGACTTCAGAAGCTATAATACAAAATTATTTGATATGATTGAGAGCCGACCCATTCGTGCTAAAATATCATACTGTGAACAAAATTTGGTCCACTTTTCCAAAAAGGTTTGCTATCCCTGATCTAGGGCGCAATTCAATTTAAAAATCCTATGAACTACAACTACTGCATTAATGGAGGAGAAAATAAAACTATTTAATGTTATTTTTTATTTTACAGTAAAAAAGGACACTTTGGCGCTGTACAAGTATGAGAAAGAGCTCTTGGAGTTCTACAAGAGATATCTGCAACGGTTGGAAAAAGCCGCTTTCGTTTTACGACGAAAAAAAGGAGATAACAGGTACGTTATCAAGCTAAAAATATAATTCTAATAACACAATTCAAAACAATCAAGTTTCAATTTGAAAACCTGTTTAGATTTCAAGAATTTGTGTTCAGAGTTCCTACAATAATAATAATTATACGTAAATTGCTTATGTTTTAAGTTGTTATTAGAATTGTGAGTCTGATACCCAAATAATTAAACGCTACTAAATTTTATGAAGGAATTACAGTAGAGCATCGATAATCCGAACTAATTGGGGGGCATGGGTGTTCGGAAAACTGGTTTAAGTTAGCCAAACTGTATAATTTTATGTACCAATATACTTATCAATAAAACATATTTATATGTAGTACAAGTTTCGTTTATTACAGTTGTAAGTAGGAATATAAATAAAGTACAGATGCTTAGTAAACAAAAAAATATCGTATATTGAACATACAGTATGCCTATATAATTAACGTTTAAATATGTCCTTAATTTTAGTCTGTCGAAGCGAACCTACCCACTCTCTTACGCGCAGCCAAGTCACGCACTTTTTTCGGGACAGATATCTGATAATGTTCGCTTTCATCTTGAGCTTCAAACCATCGCAAAACAGTATCTAAGCATGTAAACGCTTCAGAAGCGGTAGGCATATTTTCGTCTTCACTTTCTGAACCACTAATTCATGAGGTGCAGGCGGCGCGGCGGTACTGCGCTATCGTTACTGAACGTAGGCCAACACCGGGCATTTCGAGCGGGGAGAGGGGGGCAGCGGCTGCTGCGGTCGTCGCATCTCAGAGTGGTATAGTAGCGGTCAGTTCAGTTAAGAGATCGTTCGGTTTATCAACGTTCGGATAGTCTACACTACTGTACTTCTTAAAATTGAGTATTTGTTCATGAAACACTCTTAAAGTCATAATAAAGTACTTGGCGTATACTTAGACAATATGATGAATATTATTGATTAAAACTACTTTACGGATTTTATCGCGTTTATTTTACTATTATTTAAAATTTTTTTATATTTTTTAAATTTTTAATCAATGTGTAGTGTTCGCGTAAATATAAGAAATCATTATGATGAATATTAATTAATTTGACTTGGAAGTTACTGAATGTGCATCGGAACTCTAATCCACCTTTACTGAACCTTAAAAATTTTGATCTTAAAGAATACCTCGTGTTACCTATATTTCTGTGTATTGTTATTCTCATGAAAATGTTACATAAATAATTTTATCTAACAGAAAACTGGAGGAATCTACCAAAAGCCTGGCCCTCGTTGCTCTCCGGTGTATGTGTATGCTTCTGTCTTCCCGGCCACATTTTAACTTCGCGCCGAACATCGCCCAAAGTGTGATCCCGTTCCTCGACTGTCGTGAAGCAGAAGCTCGGGCAACTGTAGCCGCTTGCTGCTCGGAGGTATTCGCTGAGGACAACAGGGGTGACATCACCCTTAAGGTAAATTTAGTTTTCGTATAAATATAATACCTAAAACTATACTCCATTCGCGTTCAGTATAAGTGTAGGTATTTAAAAATATTGTAAATTACTCATCTTTCTCCACTATGAATTATCAATCAACTTTACTATTCTAACCAAATCAAATCATTTATTTGCAATCCAAGTGTACATAATTAGTCTTATATTTAAAATGTGCTTACGCTTAGACGCCAGTCTCAGGCACCGCAAATTTAACGAGGACACTGCTTATATACATAAAATATAAGATATACTTAGAAGCTAGATAAATACGAAAATAAAACAGTATTATGATATATAAATACAATGATATAAAAGTACATTATAGTGTTATTATTATATCAGCATTTCGATATACTGACAGTCAACTTGGCACCGCTGAAGGGACTGTAGCACCGCCCAAATTTCGACGGAATCAAAGACTTTCTCATAGTCCACATACGCCAGGCAAAGTGGCAGATTGTACTCTTCGGTTTTCTGTACAATCTACCGCAGGGTATGTATGTGGTCTATGGTACTGAAGCCTTTTCGGAAACCGGCTTGTTCGGGAGGCGGGAAGTCGTCGAGTCTGCGTGCGAGACGATTCGTAATGACTCTCGAAAACAGCACATAGACGCGGCTCAGAAGGGAAATCGGTCTGTAGTTCTTCAAGAGAGCATTGTCGCCTTTCTTAAAGAACAAGACCACCGCACTTCTGCTCCACGCCTCCGGAGTAGTGCCACCATGGAGGACGGAATTGAAGAGCTTCTGAAGAACTTCAAGTACCGGTGTTTCACCCGTTTTCAGGAGCTCCGCTGTAATTCCATCCTCGCCTGGGGCCCTGCCGTTTTTAAGGTGCTGGAGAGCCATTCTAATCTCGCTCAGACTGACGTCCGGGATATCGTTGGAATAGTGTCTGATAAGACTTGCTCTTGGATCGTTACTCACCCTTGCGTGTGGCTCCAACGGTGATGTGTACAGCTTGCCCATAGAACCTCTCAATCTCACTCAGAATCTCAGGTATCCCGGAAACGACGCTGCCACACTCAGTCTTCAGCTTTGACAGTTGTCTCTTTCTGGCAGACAGATCTCTGGCAACACTTCTGGCATGACTTTGGAGCCCTGGTTCCGTTCGATCGATTCTTTAATACGAGCAGTATTAAAGTTGCGTAAAGACTTACACACGCATGCATTTGGAGATCTGTCTGTTCAGTTGCCTGTATGCTGTCAAATCTGTTGACGATTGCACCCTCATCTCCCGTCTAACAGCCATGAGATTAAGAGTGTGATCGGAGAGTTTTTGTGTTCTTCTGCGGCGGGTCTTGCAGAACTTAGCTCCGACCGCATGGACAGTTTCCACGAGCTTGTCATTCATATCGTCCACTGCAATGCAATCTTCTAGGCGCTGAAAGCGGTTACGTAACTCGAGCTGAAAGGTTTCGGGATTCTGGATTAGAGCACGAGGGGGACGGAGCGCTGACTTCATTAGACGAGACCTCTCCAACTTAACGTTTAGGTTCAGTGTTCCTCTAATCGGTGCATTCGGTGATCGCTGCCAGTTTTCACCCTTGCGATCACTGAGACATCACTGAACAGTTGGCGTCTGGTCGTCATAATGAAGTCAATCTCGTGTTTTGTCGAACTGTGGGGCTCGACCAGGTCCACTTTCTGTGGGGCCGCTTCTGGAAGAAAGAGTTCATCATAAATAGTCCCTCTTTCTCCATGAAGTCGGCCAGCTGCTGGCCCCTTGGGTTCCGTTGCCCTATCCCAAATGTCCCTACCTTCAGCTCACTATTCTTTCTTGTGCCCAGTTTTGCGTTGAAGTCTCCCATTAACACCGTATAGTGAGTTTTGGAGGAATGCATGGCTTTAGAAATGTCCTCATACATTTCCTCCACCTCCTCATTGGGATGTTCCGACGTTAGCGCGTAAACCTGTATGACCTTCAGCGAATACCGTTTGGTGATTCTGAGTATAAGGTACGCAACCCTCGTCGATACACTCGCAATCTTTAAAACGTTGTTAACGAGAGACTTGTGGACGATAAATCCAACACCTCCTTGGGACAGATGGTCGCCCTCCCGGTGATAGAACAAGTTGCCGGATTCGAGAATCACCGTATCCTCCCCCTCTCTTCGGACCTCGGATTATCCTATAATATTCCAGCGCAACTTGTCTATCTCTTCTTCCAGCTCCAGGATTTGCTCGTCAGTCCTCACGGTGCGTGCGTTAAATGTTGCCAGGTCGAGTCGTCGTAGGTGGCAATCGAACCTCCACCGGAGATTCTTAACACCCCCTACCCCGCCGTTACCATGGTCGCCACCGTAGCCAGGAATAGCAGGGCCGTTGGGGACTGGGGGCCGTCTATTTGTGTAATTCTTCATGGGGGGTATATTGCCATAGTTGCCACGCTTGGCGAGCGGGTTGGCAACCGCAGTTTTTTTTGTTGTACAGTTGCTGTTATCAGGAAGATGCTGCTGCCCATCTCCTGCCTGTCTCCCTCTGTCGCCTCTTACGACACCCATGGGAAGATATGGGGTAATGGATATTCTCAACCGCCACTACACGGATATTTATGTATATTTATCTTTTCATTTTTATTTATAATTATATATTTATAGAACCCAACCAGATGAGAAAACTATATTGATACCCCCCCATAATAATAAATTTTATTTCGTTTTCAAAAGTGCATGCCTTAAGAACTATTAGATTGGAACCTCAATTTAAGCAAATAATGCCTGTGTTTGGAGGGTCCGCTCTTCCATTACTATATGCGAATTACAAGGCAGTATGGGTAAACATATTCTATATCCTATATTAAAGTTATCTATATATTACTTATATTTTAAAATTAGGACAGTGAAACGATAGGAATTAGTCTACTTATAAATACTGTATGGTATATGAGTGAAAGTTTATTTATTTATGTATATGTATATGTGTGTGTGTGTGTAGGACCTTTTTCATTGTTAAATATTTTTTTCTTTCATTGTTAACAACAAACCAAACCTAATGTTGCAATGAATTTCATTTGTTCAGATTGTAAGACTAATAAATCAGCTAGTGAAGAAGCGAGGTGAGAGGCTACACCCGTCTGCCCTGGACTGCCTGCTCACACTGAAGATACGCGATGTTGACCTGGATGCTGAGGCAGACCTCAAGCACAAGAAACGGCAAGAAGAGAAGCACAAGAAAAGGATCGTCAACTTATCCAAGAAGGAAAAGAAGGTTAGGATATATTAGAGGTATATAAGGACCTAAGCTAAACAATTTTGCTACGCGCGTTTGCGTTGCATCCATTCATTTTTAACCGCCTTTTTTGTATATGGTAGAGCCGGCTATATTATGGTTGTAGCACGAATGGTTCGGCTTGACCAGAGAAGGACCATGCTCTCACAGAATACCAGCGTAAAATAGCAGCTTAATACGGCTGTGTTTCATATGTTGTTTTCTTTTTACTGGAAACGAGGCATTCCATTTTAGTCCTCAGGAGTGACAACGCATCTGCGTTTTGATTCTTAATCTAGGATAAATGTAGATGTCTATCGGCCACAGCAACCGTAAGTGGTCATCAGATGGACTGTGTGCTCGTTTGTCACCTTATTCTATAAAAAAAGGACGTACTCAATTCGACTGTTCTTTAAAATGTGTGTTAGATACTTTGTGTTTTCAAGCGATTAAGATGATTTTTATTTGAAAGCAAGTGGGGTCCCACATGAATTTTATCAAGGTCTGACCAGTAGTTTTTGAGTTATCTTTAAAACTGCATATTTAATTGACTTCAACTTTATTGATGATGTTCTCATTTTGTTTATATTGAAGTAGGGTGTACAAATTTTTAAATTTTACCACCTGTATAGTTATCTATAGTGTTAACGATTAGAAAGTCGTCTTGATTAAACCAGCTGGGCGCCATTCATTCGCCGCGCTTACCGGTGGAAATCTTACGGCTCACTAGCGCAGTAATCAATCAGTTGCCCGTGTCATTGTGTCATTCCTTTTAAAACTCGCATAGAACAATTATTGTATGACTTACAAATTATAGATTAAGCCAGAATGTTTGTCTATAGGCAACTTTGTATGTAAAACGCTTCCTTCATCATCAGCCCGTAACGTTCAACTGCTGAATCTGGGCTTCATTTCCTTAACTCAATAGTCACACTAGGTAGGTGAATTGGTGATCCAGACGCCAGATTTGGTGTTACGCCTACGACAGAAAAAAGTGATAAATTCCCTTATCTCATTTTATTTAACGCCTCCATGGTAAAGGTCACGCCGTGTATTGGTGGTGTCAGAATGTCCACTAGCCCCATATCGTCCCATGGGTTTATTAAGAGACGATAGAGGGAGACATTAAGAGATGGGCAACAGCGTTTCCTTAATATCAACTAAAAATAAAAAAACTGCAGTTGCTAACCAGTTTGTCAAGCGTGGTAACTATAACAAATATCTCCCTTCTTCTTCTTCTACCTAGCGTTTATCCCGGTTGCTCATCCCGCCCAACGCGGGAGAACCCAGGGTCCGCTTTCCTACACTTCCTCCTCCACTTTGCCCGGTCTTCGGCGTCCCTCGCAACTAGCCCATTGGCGCGCATATCATCCTGCACGACATCAAGCCAGCGTTTCTTGGGCCGTCCTCTACTCCTGGTACCAGGTAGGGTCCAGAACAAATATCTCCCTTATGAGGTAATTTATGGGTGAGGCTTATATTTTTATAGGTTTTAATAGGTTGTAACAGTATAGTGTAGGAGAAATCCTGAATATGGTGGTATCATTTTTCAAAGAGAAAAGCTGTCAGTTGAGAATTTTTGAGAAGGCTTTTTTAGAAAAAGAACTCTGTCATCTAGTTTATTTCTATCTTAATAGAACCTGTGCAAGTGTAAACTTTAATATTTATCTTATAGCGAGTAAAGAAACTTAAAGAAGTGGAAAGGGAGCTTTTAGAAACAGAAGCGCGAGAGAGCGAGGAGGCCCGCAAAAAGCAGCTGACGGAAGTGACCAAGACGGTATTCCACATCTACTTCCGCATACTCAAGATCGCGCCCAGGTCGCAACTGCTCGAGGCGGTTCTCAACGGGTTGGCCAGGTTAGTGATTTTTGTATGTTGCATACAGTGCCAGCAGTACCTTGCTGATTTTACTTGTCGCCTTGACATCCCTTTCTCGATATCGCTACATTTTATATCATAGAATACTATTATACACAAAAGAATGGCTGTCAACCTTATTTTGTACGAGGATAGGCGTCGCCGGGAGCACACATACAAGCAATTACGTCGTATTAGTCAATCACTACTACAAACCCGATTTGCTGTGTTGACAGACGGATTTTAATACATATTTGTAAATAGCGTGCAATTTGGCATTTTCTAAATAATTTGAATGCGAAATTTGGAAACGATTGTAACGTCAAAACACATCTCTTGTTATGCGTGTGAATTGACGTGTTAGTGACATTTTAGTGGCTATACGGGCTCCGCCCACTCCCCCTTCTATTATGTATGTATTATAGTATTCTATATTTTATATATTAATATTTTTTATCGGAAGAAACTTACATTGAAAATCAAATTTGACTACCGGCACGGGCACGGACAGTTATCGATTGTAGTCGGTTTAATATATGCTGTGTGGATCAGGTTCACGCATGTGATCAACGTGGAGTACTACTCGGAGCTGGTGGAGCTGCTGGCACGGCTGTGTAGAGAGGAGGGTGCGGGGGGGGGCAGTGGGGGAGGCTTGCGGTTGCGGCTGCAGTGCGCGCGCACGGCGCTGGCCGTGCTGGCGTCGGCCGGGGACGCGCTCAACTTCGACCCCGCGTACTTCCACGCCTTCATCTACGCGAACTCACTCGCCGTGCACGCGGGTACGTCACACCACCACGCTGCAGCTATATTATGTTTGTAGCATGAATGCATCGTCTCGATGGAGGAAGCACTACACTCTCACAGAATACCAGCATAAAATATCAGCTTAATACTACTGTGTTTCATATGTTGAATGTAGAGATCTGGTGACCCTTTTTCACTGGAAACGAGTTATTCCATCTTAATCCTCAGCAGTGACAACGCATCTGCATTTTAATTCTTAATCGTGAATTAATGTAGATGTCTATGTGCCACAGCATCCACTTATCATGAGATAAACTGTGTGATCGTTTGTCACCCTTATTCTATAAGAAAAGGTTGAGGATGCGATTGCCTGTTCGCAGATAGTTATTGACATATTTTTTAGGGATTATTTCATATTAGAAATCCCATACATCCATCTATTACGGCCTATAAAAAAGCTACTGCTGAACATAGGCCTCCCTATGTTCCTAAGAGGTTCCCTCATAAGATTTCCTTATACAGGGATTCAGCCATAGTTGCCTCGCTTGACAAGTGGGTTGGCAGCCATAGTTTTTCATTCTTCATCCTGTTTCATTTTTCCTCTGTCACCTCTTACCCACAGGACACCTCGCCTCACCCTCAGGATAATATACATTGGTAGATATATTAAAAATTAGAAGTTATTTTAGAAATAATTTATATAAATTAAAACATATTCATTTTTACGGTATATTTATAACATATGTACTGTATATCATTATGATGGTTGCTACGGCCTATAGCTTTTTACATATATCTCGATTAAAAATTAAAATGTAGATGCATTCTCACATCTGAGGACTAAAATGGAATGCCTCGTTTTAAGTAAAAAGGGCCTCAGGATCTTTACACTCGTCATACAAAACACATACACACAGTATTAAGCTGCTTCTTTACTGAACGTTTGACACTGAAAGTTTTTAGAACTGGCCATACATGAACATAATAAAAAAATAAGTATAAATTTTGAAAATGGAACTCTTTGCCAATATAATTTGTATATATTTTGTTAATTTGTTTACGATTTGGCGGCAAATTGAAAATTGTCTGTGTCTGTGTACAATATTTTTTTATGACTTTCGATGTCATTGAAGTCAACAAGAAAGTTAGGATACTTCGATTGACCTTTGACGATGAAGTCTCATCTCGTGCCACTGTTTACAATTGGTTTAATGAGTTTAAACGTGGTTGCACTAATCTCACCGATGATCTGCGTGAAGGACGGCCTTCTACGGCGACTACTGAAGATAGCATCAATGTTGTGCGGCGTATGATAGAGACTGACGAAAGAGTGACTTATCAGCAGATTCGGACAAGCTTAGGCATCGGCATGAGTCAAGTGCACAAAATCGTCCATGAATATTTAGCGGTCAGGAAGCTTTGTGCCCGGTGGATACCTCGTAATTTGACAGAGGCCCAAAAATTCCGTTGCGTTGATTGGTGTCTTGAAATGGTTCAAAGATTTAATGGAGGTGACTCAAATGCTGTGTTCGACATACGGGTAACGAAAGCTGAATTTATTGTTATGATCCTATAACTAAGAGACAGTCTGCTGTCTGAGTTTTTCCTTCCAAAGCGTTGCCAACTAAAGTGAAGAGAGGTCGAAGCGCGGGGAAAAAAGATGGTGGCCTCGTTTTTCGGAAGGACAGGTCATTACGCAACAATAGTTTTCGAGTATCGAAAAACAGTTACTGCAGAGTGGTACACTAACAATTGTTTGCCACTTGTCTTGGAAATAGTTCGGGAGAAACGACCTCGCAGCAGAATCCTCCTTCACCACGACAACGCCTCGTCGCATACCGCCAAGCAAACAATCGACCACTTTGCGACATCAGACGTGGAATTACTGTGTCACCCGCCCTATATCCCCGATCTCGCACCTTGCGATTGTAATTTATTTCCGAAAATAAAAGAAAAACTTCACGAAGCAGTGGCTGCGTTTCAAAATGCCGTCGAAGAGACCCCTAAGAACGAGTGGGCAAAATGCTTTTCTCAGTGGTTCCATTGAATGCAGCGATGTATTCATGTAATTACATTATTTTGAAAAGATATAATAAAACTAATAGCTTGCTAGTTTGTTCGCTTTTTGATTTTCTAAGAACTTTTAGTGTCACTCTCGTATATTATAAAATACACGCTTATTTCTTCTTTTTTTTTGCGTAAAACATAGTTATTATATACTCTGATGAGACATCGGCATTACGAACATAAATAATGTATGTGTTATTTAATCTAGTTTAATGTACTTGTAACAGATGTTTTAAAACAAATTTTAGCTTTCTTGCACTCTTTTCCATAAAAAAATTATTATGCCTAATTGCATTCCTCCATGAGCGCAATGTGTTTAAAAGAGAGTACAAAGTTTTCCCTTAACGTATTTATAAAGATATGATTTTTTATGGACGACTTTGTGGTGCAGTGACTTAGCAATGAGTTGCAGCGCAAGGGCCGCGGGTTTGAATCCAGCAAGGAACAAGTATTTGTATGGCCTACAAATAATTGTTCTGGATTAAGATGATGTATGAATTTAGATGATAGATTATTAGGGCGACATTGAGATATGTTTTTTAAAGTAAAAAAAAAAAGAATATTTTGTAGGTTCGTGGTCCCCAACCTGTAATTGTGCTATTTTAGTTGTTTATTCAATCTGTTCTTAAATTAGTTTATGGTTTGTGCCGATATCACTTCTGAAGGCAATTTGTTCCATGCTTCAATCATTGGCTTGTGTAGTTCAAGTGCTTGTGTAATTTATTATGTGACATGGCTTTAGTCAATTTGAGGCGATATCTCCGAAGATGTGTTTGAGTACTGGAATAATAGTTTGTCGAAAGATATTTTTTGGCAGAAGTGTAGGGCGTCCCCTCACTAGATGGATTGACGACCTGGTGAGACATGCAGGAAGTCGGTGGGTGCAGGTGGCTCGGGACTGTGCTTTGTGACGTTCCTTGGGAGAGGCCTATGCTCGGCAGAGGACTTTTGAAGGGCTGTAACCCTGTAACGATGATGATGAATGATTTCAGGCGCAACTTCAGAGGACGCCAAGATAATCATAGAGGCGGTGACGCAGATCTGTGCGCGCGCCCGGCGCGTGTCCACCGCGGTGCTGCAGGCGTTCGCCAAGCGGCTGGCGACGCTCGCCGCGCAGCTGCCGCACCACGCTGCGCTCGCTTGCTTGCAGCTGCTGCACAACTTGTTGCAGGTGTGTATGTTTAAGAAGTAGAGCCACTCTGCAGCTATGTTATGCTTGAAGCACGAATGGCTCGGCTCGCCCGGGGAAGGACCTCGGTCTCTCAGAATACCAGCGTAAAATAGCAGCTTTTACTGCTGTTTCGTATGGTGAAACGAGGCATTCCATCTTAATATTAAGGGGTGATAGGGAGCTTAAGGCGTCTGCTTGCTTGTTGTTCTTATCTAAAGCGCTGGTCTGACGTGAATGCCGGACGCCGGTTTTTTTTGGGCCATAAACAAAGTAAATGGCTACCTACCTACTACTCCCGGAAGCGGGGAGGGAGGTGATGAATACTCTACTATACGCAGCCGGCTGCATGGTTATGTGGTTCTCACCATAAGACCTAGAGTAAACTAAACACCATCTGGGACTGGCTTTGGCCTGGGAAGGCCTATTAGCCGTATCGGAGGCGACCCCCCCCTTGGGGGAAGGGGGGCGCAGTTTAATACGGAGTTCGCAAAAACATCTGTTAACATCGCAACGGTAGCGCCAACCAAACCATGTACAGTTTTATCAAGGTCCAAAGGCGAGAACACTCAATGAAACACACAACTGTTTTTAATTAGGATAATTTAATGGAGAAGATAACCATTTTTTGTTTTATATGCCAAAAAATTCTACAAAAAATTACGAGAATAACTGTATTTTTAATTTTTTTTATATCTTCAAAACTGAACGAGATATAAAGGCGCAAAGTTAACATTTTCGGTCTAAGCAGCGGGCCGAGCGCGAAATCGTTGATGACGTCACGATTTCCATTTTCGTGCGAGCGACCCGACGCGCACTTAGAAAATCAAAACATTTTACTCATTGCTCAAATGTGACCGTCGCGCGCGGATCTACTTGCTATCTATTTTTAACAAGAAACATAGAACATGACACCATCTATTAAATATTGTGCTGTGCCTTAATGTAAAAATACGGCCACAAAAACACTTAAAAAGTTGTTTTTTAATGTGCCCAGAAACCCTACCATCAAAAAAAAATGGACAAATGGTATAAGAAGAGCACATCCTTTAGGACCAAACACGGTAGCATATTGTTGTGAGAATAGCATATTGTTGTGAGAATAATTTGGATTTAAGTATTCAAATAATAATATAACCTTCACATGATACCTCTTGGTTATTGCTAGTAAATGCTTTCTATTAGACATGTACCTACTCGAGTCGCAGTGTTTAAGTAACTAAGGATTCATTGAATCATTGAACCTTTCCACGCTTAATGATCATTACAATTTTAAGAAGAAACAATACCTAATACCTACATATTTAACTAAAACTACTTCAGTGTAAATAAACATCCAAACATGGGTAAAGTACTTACCTATATAATGTAGATAAGTCAATGACCTGTCGTGAGTTTGTAAGTTTAGATACCTATCTATGTTTGCAACAAATTTTAAAATGTTTATATAATGGATATAAAGGTTAAGATATGGAATATGTTAACAAACGTTTTTATATTTTTACGATATTTCGAGCAAAAACTAAAGACATCGCAGAGCTGTTCAACCTGCATACTTAGTTGGCCGCAAATAATGGAAGAAGTTTGATTATGAAGTGGAGCACTTAAATTTTTTTTCGTGTTGTCCTATTTTTATGTATTACATAGTTGGTACATATTTTAAATATTGATGTAATACAAATTAGGAGGTTCCTTATTATTTTATAGACTTTAAATAATTGTTTGTATTTCGTTCTAGATCGAAAACGATATGGAAAACTACGAAGTACAAAACTAGTTCGTGGCCTCCTCAAACTTAAAAAAGATGTTTTGCCTCACAAGTTTGCTTGTTAAAATCGGTATACAGAAAAACCACAAAGATGTTACTATCAAAACTAAATGCCAAATCTAGGTCAGAAACAGTTGCACATGCGATTGCCACTACTTCACATGAAATTGAGCATATATATGTTGTCGATCCTGTTACTAATCTAGATGATAATATTCCCTTGCCTAAAGAATATATAACTACGCTTTTAATCATAATAATAATGCGACCCTTTTTCTATTAATATTGAAATCATCTTATTTTTATATAAAATCATATTTTTATTTTTTATACACCGAAGGTATATTTGTAGTACGTTATAAACAACAGGAATTTTTTATAACCATAAGAACCACAAAAAGGTCAGGGTGCACTTAAGAAGAATAAGAAAACAAAACTAGTTAGAGCCAGATAGTAAGTAGGTACGTAAGGAATGTTTACGTATTTTTGTTATACTTATTCTTATCATTAGCAAATGAAACCCAGAAGTATTAATGTAATAATGGGTACCTAGGTTATAAAATATTATCTTATTCTTATGCGTATTTCAGCCGCGACAAAATCTTTGTTTCTTAGAAAATATTCCGCCACACAAATCTTGTCACGGACTATTGGAAGGTTGTCAGATTGACCCTTTTGAAACCCTTCTTCCATCATTAAATACTTCAAAACACCAGAGCGAACGAGGGCAAACAACTCACCCGCAAAATATTACTACAAACATATGATCGGCGCGCTGGAACGGTATGGCGGCGCGGCCGCATGGAACGAATGACGTCACGCACTACTCGCGGGCACGGGCGAGATTTTAGAAATGTACGTAAACTTTCCACGCTTATAACTTCGGTAATAGTGCACCGATCGATGTGAAATAAAAACTAGAATTATGTGTTTGGTCTAGACTTTTTACCTACGTACTTAAAAGTCTAATATTGTAACCTTGTTATCTTCTCCATTCACAAGGAAATTCACGCGGACGCCGGCCGGGGGCTTTACTTTTATTCTTGCCGCCAGAGTCGCGTGGGCGCTGAGTTTGCCTAAGCACTCGCGGGGGCTAGGCAATTTTTGTTGAGTTGAAGCATATACACGCGTACGACCGTGCTGCTTTGTGATATAAACACATTAACACGGTATATTGATATAATGATATAGTTAACGGCACATGAAAGAACATTGCTCTGCACCCATACCTTGTTCGCCCCTGGAACAAAAAGCATCGGAAAGTTATGTGTTGTATTGTCGATCATTAAGGTGCGCTTACACGAGGGCAATAATTGCTCGCCGACACGAATGGACCGATCTGGAGCAATTAATGGAGCAATTTCAAAGCAATAGAGCAAATTGCGGCAATTATTTCGGCGATATTGCTTCTAATTGCTCCAGATATTTCATATCGCTCAGTGTCGCAGATACGAATTGACGAATATCCAATGGGCTTGGAAATTCCTAGCAATTATTGTATATATCTCATTCGCACTTGTTTGTTTTGCGGCTTGCCGTCTTGCTTCCGCGGGGAGAGCGGGAGGTCGGGTCTGTTCGTGACATTCTAGTAAAGTTTTTGAATAATATGTCATCTAATTCTTTACACAATGAAAATTGCGGCCTCTTTGCCAAAAACGATCGCATCCAGATACCTCAATTCCTTTTCTTTTTTTTTTTTGTTTTTGATTAATAATAAAAAAAGCGCTACAAGCCCTGCGCAGCAAGAACAATGTCGTCCATAGCGAGCGAATACTGAAATGCTCGTGTAGGACAGTATTGCCTAGTTGATGAAGTTGCGCCATATCGCTCAATATTGTATTGCGCAGTATTGATGCTTGTTGCCATTGCCGTAAATTGCTTGAAGTAGTCGTGACGTCATAGTTGACGAGTATTGATGCCCGTGTATGCGCACCTTTAGTAAATTTCCACATGATCTTATTTTTATTTTTAAGGCAGACTAGCTGCAGAATAGATATATTTCAAAAAAGTATAAGACTTCGAGGTTATAATCTAACCGCGATTATTATGTTTTTTCATAGCTTGAAATGATTTTTATGAATCGATATAAATCTGAAAAATCCTTGTTAGTTTTACTGATATCGATTTAGAACACTACATCGATTCCATAAATCAATTCAAAAATCAAAATCTCTCAAATAAGATTGGTTTAAGAACAAGCGATATTTCAAATGATTCAAGAAATACTTTTGCGTAGTAGAATATCTCACGGAGTCTGAATTTGTGCCCGGTGTATGGCAATACGCTCACCCTCTGCTTACTTCTTCAGGGAAATACAGACGTGATGTTATGCTTATTAATTTAATATTTCTATCCTATTACTTGAATTTACGGGAAATTATAATCAATAATGTTCTGTGTCTATATTAGACATGTTTGAAAATGTCGCGATTAATCGATAATCGATTTGTGTTAATACTCGATTTAATCAAGAATCGATTCTAGGATTTGAATCGAATCGTAGATCGATTTTTTTAAAGAGCACAGGTGAGAGACAGAGTGATAAGTGACCATTTAATACCATCAAAAATAGGGGCGCTGCAGTACGATACGATTTATCAATATTTCCTATGATTTACCATGGCCATACGATACAAACTGTATTACATCAATTTTTGTCATGTCATAACATTAATACCATAACAAGTATGACAATGTTCTACTTTACTTATAATTACTCTGTACTTCTCTACTTCTTCTATCCTTAAAGGTGATTTTGGCGGGAACTTGGCCGACGACGGACTGTCACTCCTGTTTTGTCGCTTGAATAATGGTTTGAAGTGGATTTTGATTCGTAAAAGTGATGTGATTTTGTGAATTAAGTGTCTGCGCGTGTGAATTATTAGAGAAAACGACGAAATAAATGATTTGATGTCGATATAAACCTCAAGTTAATTTGATCGTTTGGGCGCCTTGAGTGGCTGTCGTCATCAATAGTCCGCTGGGTTGAGCTGTCGTCAAAATCTCCCAAAAACTTCGCAATGTGACGCATCAGCATATTGTGAAGATATATAAAATGAAGATTCTGAAAGAAATGATAGGCTCAGAAGGGCTAGTACTCAGAGCCGTAAAGCCAGTTACATAAAAAAATCTATACTTAAACCAATATAAATAATCCTCTTTGTAGCAGTGAACAGTGAGTTTATCTTTATCACTAATATCGCAACATCAATAAGAAAAAAATTATTACTATGGGTTCAAAATTTGCTCTGTCCAGTTCAACTTAATTTTTACGGCCAACACATTTTTTCCACACAACAATTTGATATTAAAGACATTTTACAAGTGGCTAGTACTTTTTTAGTTTGTCAATGTTATTAAAAATATCTCTATACCGAGTTGATGTATTTATGATATGTTAATTGGCAACATTTGACAATTTGAACTATGACGTCGCGCATGCGCAGTAACAGGTTAAATCATAGATTACGTCATAGATTTGATGGAATCGAAACATTGATGGAATGATCGGTATGAAATTATTATTTTATTTATTTATTTTTATACATGAGGAGGCAAACGAGCTAGGGAGTCACTTTATAATAAATGACTATGCCATGAAACGCTGCTCATGAACAACTGTAACACTAGGTCAATGGCAAATGCGTTACCGGCTTTTAAAAAAGAGTAGGCTCTTTTCGTGGAGGTCCCTAAGTTGGATCGGTCTGAAAAAATCGTTGGTTGTAGTCGATTCCACAAGGACATTGTGTTGTCTTACGTGGTAGTCACACTGCAGCTAGTGTCGTTGATCATGGGTGCAACACACACACAACATGTACGGATCATAAGTGCAACACACATATTCATGCATATTTTTATTTTATTTTATTTATGTTTTTTTTTCTTGGTTTTGTAAAAATTTTATTTATTTTTGTTACCTTGTTCCGAGTTGTGATAAGGTGATAAGCCATTTTGTAATTGTAATTTAATGGAAATGGGAAGGAACTGCATCCCGACACACAGCTATTGCTAGTTCGGAAGTCAGGGCTTCAACTTTGTAGTGCAATATGGTTTTATTCAATAAATAAATTTATTATTATTATTCGAAGATAAATTTATATGTCTCGGGACCACAGCATCCGCTTACCATCGGGTGGACTGTGTGCTCATTTGTCACCCCGATTTCATAAAAAAATCTACACTGTCTGTGAAGATCGTCTACATCGACCTGCGACCCTACGTAGTTCTAATAGTAAAGTAGTGTTGCTTGCCTAAGTTGACTTCATGTACCCGGCACTAGCGTCATCTAGTGTCGGGGACGAGAGCGAGGAGGGCTTCCTAGAAAATGTTAATCTTGACTTTCGACCAACAGCGCCATCTAGTATCGAACAGAAGAATTAAGCTTTCTGGAAGCCCCACTCTTTCTTCAACTATCTGCGCCTGGTCGGTTGGCGCGCGTATTTACTTTAATATTCTGGACGTTTCGTTGAAAAATGTGTATTTCATGATCTGTGCCGTCGGCTTGACCATAATGAGATGACACTTACTGTATCTATCCATATATTACCCATACATTCAAATAAATGCTTGCGTTCGTCTAGGTAGTGCCGTCGTGGGCGCTTCTCCCTCCGCGGGAGGCTGGGTGGTGAAGCGACGGCGCTCGCGTTCTCAGTACGCTTTTTCTATCCATGTGAATACACGTACGTCATTTTAATAAATAAAAATATTAACGACGCGTGTCGTTCGAGACTATTTGTTAAAGTATAATATTTAGTCGAATTGCTGTTGTTGCTATGTGTAATAAAAATTCTACCTTAATGGTAAGTTTGCTTCCATATTTATAATAAATACTATGTGTTTCTAGTGTTCTCCTCTCGTAACTTTGTAAGTAGTAGATTTAAGTGTATCTATGTAATTATTTCTGAAATCTCCATACGACAATCACGTCTGTGGTATTGTTACACCTGTATTTGGGTGCCTACTTACATAATTTAATGTTATGAGAGGTATGACTTATGTTTTCTGCCTTATACTGGGTAACAATGTTAAAACTCGGTCTCCTTCAAACCAGTCTTATGGCTCAAGGCAACAGCCGTACGGCCCGATTTGAGGAGCCTAACGGCTCCTTTCGAGGGGACTCACGGCTCAATTTGAGCGGCCCAACGGCCCGATTTTAGCGGCCTTACGGCTCGATTTAAGTGGCCTTACGGCTCGATTTAAACAGCCAAACGGCTCATGGCAGTCGCAAAAGAGTCAGTGACATTAGAGTCTCTTTTGGAATGGGAACCTGATAGTTCGGAAGACGGGGAGATTTTAGAGAGAGTGAAAAGGTTGGCAGAATTGTATCTACCTGATGGATGGCGCCAGTGGAAAGTCGTTACTCATTCTAGAGCGGAGCTATTGGGTGAAGTTTTTGATTCCCAGATCTTAAAAAAAATTAGATTCAGTCTGCTTACGGTGGAGCTTGCTAGAGCTTTTTGTCCAGATTGTACCTCGCTTCCGGAAAAAGTATATAAAGACATCAAAATTAAAATGCTTGAATGGCCTTTTTGTGTGGGGCTTATTATTGGTCCACCGTCCATCGGTGCTAGAATAAGAGGCTCCGCTGTACAAAATGAATTAATCGTAGCCTCACTTACTGAACTCAAGCCTCTCTTGCTAAGTCGAAAAGACGCTTCTTCATCATCTAAGTCAAAGAAGCCAAGAAGAATGTCAAGAATGGACAAGTTGGAAGAAGAGTTTGGTGATATGAAGGACATGTTTTCCAACTTTATGAAAAGATTTGAACCCATCTCCGATAATGAGTCTGAGCCAGAAGAATCCTACGCTTTTTCTGAAGATGAACTTCAAAACAGTCAGTCTTTGCATAAGTCGGAGACTGTTAAATGGAAGGCGCCAGATCTACCATTAGAAGAGGAAGAAGATGACGATCCTGACTTTATTCCGCAAACTAAGAAACAATAACCAACAATGCCTACGCCAAAACCTCATATTGAGTCACAAGGTATTCAGTGCCTAAGATTAGGAAAATTATCCTATAATCAGATCCGGTACGCTGAAGTGCAAAAGAAATTGCAAGCATTTCCAGTGTTCCATGCTTTAAAGCTGAATCCTGCCTTAATGAAGACTGATAATTCCAGCGCTTCTCTGGACTCTCTAACGAAACAGGAAGCTTCCTTTGGTACGATACTGCATGGCTTACTATTACAAGAGAGGCACTCACCCGTGTTGTAAAAGACCTTTCAAACAAACATCCTTCTCTGAAGCAGGACCTCAAAGAGTCACTATACGGCACGAATACGGCTTTCAAATGTGAATGTGCAATTTATCAAGCAGTACTTTTGACGCTAGCTCAACTGAGGGGGAAACGCGTAGTAATTCAATTGGACAACAAAACAGCGGTTTCCTACATACGGAATCAAGGTGGAACCAAATCCGTTCTACTGACAGAACTAGTGTCAAAGATTCTGGAACTCGCCTACGAGAACGAAATCGAAATTTTTGCCTACTATATACCGGGAGTCTTCAACGAGATGGCAGACAGCCTTTCTCGTCAGAAGCACCTGGCGGATTGGCATCTCTCGAACAAAGTGACGGACCTACTATTCAAGAAATGGGGAACTCATCAGGTCGACCTCTTTGCCACTGCCTTCTCTAAAGTTGTACCGATTTATGTGTCTCGAAACACAACAGACACAGGTGCTCTTTTTGCAGATGCTTTCAGTAGAATCTGGGACTTCGATCTAGCTTGGATTTTCCCACCGCCAGGACTGATGCCTCGTGTGCTGGCACACTTGAACAAAGCAAGGGGCACTTACATCCTAGTTGCGCCAAGATGGCAACGTGTTTTTTGGAGGGCGGGTCTGAGGCGAAGGGCACTGGACCGTCCGTTTGCATTCGAAACTTACAGCATCATCTATCGGACGCGATACAGAACATCCCTTTCCCGGACGTCTACGCTTGGAGGCCTGGTTGATACGGGGTGGTCAGAAATCATATCTTCATGGGCCCAAGAAGACTTTGAATTACTCAAAGGATCTTGGAGAAAGTCTTCTTTAAAAACGTATGCCGCATCATGGAAAGCTTGGGTAATGAGATGTAATAAAATGAGCCTGGATCCGAAGAAACCTGATCCAGCTCATGTAGCCCAATATCTTAGTTTTTTACATAGAGTAAAACACTTCGCACCTGGAACAATAAAATTACGCAAATGTTAGAGCCACTATGGCTGATCCCTTAAGAAGGGAAGAAATTTCAAGTCACCCTCTGGTGAAACATATTATTCGAGCAATAGAGAATTCTCATCCTTCATCGTCGAAGAAATGTATCTGAGATGTCGAACAGTTGATTACTTGGATGAAAACCTCAGTTATTAATGAAGATAGTCTATTTGAAGTATCCCGTCATGTGGCACTGATTCTTTTGCTGGCGTCGGGTAGAAGAATACACGATCTTACTCTTCTAAGGATTGATGATGATCATCTAAAGCTGAGTCAGGATTCCGTTACCTTTTGGCCTGTATATGGTTCAAAAACAGATAAGATTAATCATCAACAATCAGGTTGGTATTTGTCTAAAGGTTCGATTAAGTCTCTAGATCCCATATATTAGACGAAAAGACTGATTGATTTGTCAGCGTCTAGAAGACAAGCAAGAAACAAATTGACATCTTTGTTTGTATCTACACGCGGAATTCTAAAGTCTGCACTAGAGCCACAATTGCAGGATGGGTAAAATCTGCTTTTAAGCATCTTGGTATCGATTTTTCGCCTGGAAGTATAAGATCTGCCGTAGCCTCCTCAAGACAGGAGAACAATGTTCCTTTAGATATAATCATTAAAAATGGAAATTGGAAATCTGATAAAAATGTCTAAGTTCTACTTTAAAGAGATAGTTAAAAAGTCGTCTGGTGCTCATCCAGTTAATGACTTAGTTTGTTCTAATTTTAGAGCTATCTAGATTGTTTTAATGTTTACTTTTTTTAAATAAAAAACAGTTGATTTACATACACGTTTATTTTATTTTAAAACTATATATTATTCACAGTACGCTAATACTGCGTCGTCAGAAACTAAAAACCTCTCATTATGGTCAAGCCGACGGCACAGACCATGAAATAAGGAACGTTTTCCCCCCAAAGGGAAGAAAACGTTCCTTATTTCATGTCTTGTCTAGGCTTGACCAGGATAAGCTCTTGACGACTAGTGAGAGGTACTGAGAACCCGAGCGCCGTTGCTTCTTCACCGCCCCGCCTCCCGCGGAGGGAGAAGCGCCCACAACGGCGCTACCTACACTACACTACGAACGCAAGCATTTATTTGAATGTATGAGTAATATATGGATAGATACAGTAAGTGTTATCTCATTATGGTCAAGGCTAGGCAGGACATGAAATATATCGTTTTCTTCCCTTTGGGGGGAAAACGTTCCTTATTTAAAGGCGCTGCAAGACGCGGTCGCAGCAGTATTGAATTTGGCGAGACAAGCGAAGCTTCGGAGCGAAATAAAGTGCATCAGTGTGGTTAATTATTAGTGTTTTAAGTTTTAATTAGTGTAAAGTGAATTAAAGTGTAAATTTTGGTAATTCAATCGGCAGTTTTTAATTGTCACGAACCTCAAGCTCGTAACAGTAGCGTAATGACGGAAGGTCGTCATTTGAAGTGAATTCTCTTAATTTGTTGCTCGTATATAATAATTTTAATTCTCGTACTTTATAACGAAATTAATCCTAATAAAGTTTTTAGAATTTTAGTTGTATAATTCTTATAAATAACATTTAAAAAAGAATTGTTCTGAGAGGTCATAAAGGTGGCATGTGCGGGACCGATGTGGACCACACTACTACACAGATTACGGTTTAAAACGGAGCAAAAATTAGTTGTGAGTAAAATAAATAATATTCATTAATTTAATATCGGTGGTGTAATGGTAACAAATATAAAAATGGAATGTGTTTTAACGCCTCCACCTTCATTTTGTTTTGATAGAAACGCAATGGATTCGACCTCTGGAAGTTTAAGTGAATTTTTTTATAGTATAGGGTGACAAAGGAGCAACCGATGGGAAGTGGTTGCTGTGGCACATAGACGTTCCACATCTTTCCTCGATTACGAATCAAAATGCGTTGCGTTTTCACCCGTGAGGACTAAAATGAAATTTAAATAATACCAGCCTTTACGGGTTTTATCGCGTATATTAACTTTTTCATGTACCCGACGTTTCGAGCACTTTACAGCACCCATGTTTACGGCGGAGACTGAGATATTCAATGTCCAGATGTCATAGTTAACCATGGTTACCATAGATTAAAATTATTATTTTTTGTTCCGGTCTATTTAGTATGAACTTATAGTATCTTGAAATCTTGCAGTTGTATGCTTTTTTTAATATATGCGAGCAGCTAAGCAGGTCTAGGCAAAGAGACCAGTATCTCTGCGACCTAGAAGGTCTATTGTGATCGCTGCTATAGCTATAGTTCACTGCCAAGCCCTATGTCTTCAATGAATCGAAGGAGTTGCTTAGCCGTGAGCAATTTCACTTCTTCTGGGCGGAGTAGATAGTGTCCCAGATGAGTATTACGTTTGCGCATTAAGGGTCCGCAATCGGTTAGGATGTGTAGAGGCGTTTCTTCCGTTATGGAACAGAACAGACACATCCTTGAGTTGCTTAGTCCCAGGATGGACATGTGCTTTTTAAGACAACAGTGTCCAGTTAGGGCTCTTGTCAGAATATGCAATTTATTTTTATTTAATCCCAGGGCTTCTGAAGCGAATTTATGATCAAAAGCCCAGATTAAGGTTTTAGAATGTTTTAAGCCTGGTGTGTCAGACCAGATCTTAAGTGATTTATTGTGATAAAGAGTATCAAGGGCTAGGCTTCTTGAGATTCCACAAAATGGCTCGGGTCCAAATTGTGTGCACTTTGAGCCCTCCCGTGCGAGTTTGTCGGCAAATTCGTTGCCTACAATACCCTCGTGATCCCGAACCCATCTTAAAACGACCCTGTTCTTACAACCCAGGGCGTTTAAACGGTTCACACAGTCTCCAACTAGCTTTGAGTTCACTAAGTTTGATCTCAGCGCTAGCAGTGCTGCTTGACTATCAGAGTTTATGTAAATTTTATGGTTGACGTAGTGTTTTTGCAGATTGATTTCCGCACACCGAAGTATGGCGAAAATTTTTGCTTGGAAGATAGAGGTGTATCTACCCAAATTCATACTAAGTTTGAATTTGGGGCGTTCCCCGTAAATTCCAAAGCCTACGTTGAGGCCCATTTTTAACCCATCGGTATACCATATGAGGCTACCGACCTCACAGATAACCTGGCCGTTCAGCCAGTCTTCTCTGGAGAGTAATTCCACTATATACTTTTTATCAAAAGTGTGTAGTGGACGCATGATATCTGAGATCATGCATAAGACCGGTGATTCCTTAATTGAGTCGAGCATGGATCTCAATCTGTAGGAGAGCAAGCTCAGACCGCCCTGGGCGTTAATCCTATACAAACTAGCCCTCGCCTCCTTTTCTAGATAGAGATCAAGGGGCGTTAGGCATAGAAGTGCATTAAGAGCCGCTCCAGGCGATGATCGCATAGCTCCAGTTGCCATTAGGCAGGCAGTCCTTTGTAGACTATTTAGTCTGTCCGCAGTCGTCTTTTGGTTGGCCTTGTTACACCAGACAATAGAGGCGTAAGTGAGAATCGGCCTCACTATGCTGCTGTACAGCCATAGGACTATACTGGGACGCAAGCCCCAGTTGTTCCCGACCAAACGACTGCACGTACCTAAAGCAATTTTTGCCTTATGGCATACGTTGCTAAGGTGAGAGTTCCACGTTAGTTTTTCGTCGATTGTTACGCCCAAGTACTTAACTTCCGTGGAAAATGGTACTACTTTGCCATTAAGTTTTGGTTGGACTAATTTGTCCAACCGTCTCTTTTTGGTAAAGAGTATAATAACAGTTTTATCAGCATTAACTGATAAACTGTTATCCCTACACCAGTTATTTATGGTGTTTAGGGCTCTTTATATTATTGAAGTACTTTGGCAAAAGCCCCTTGCAATGATCACAAGGTCATCAGTATAACCCAATGTGTCAATGCGTAGGTCTACCATTTTGTATAATAGTTGGTCAACCGCAAGAGTCCAAAGAAGGGGTGACAAAACACCTCCTTGTGGGCAGCCTCTTGTGGTTGCAACCTCGATCGAAGTTTGAAACAGCACTATTTTTGCCTTTCTGCTTGAGAGCATCGACTTCACCCATCTGATGGTTGTGGAGTCAACATTTTTAGATGTCAGGCCCCCAATCAGCAGTGATGTGGGGCTACTGTCGAGGGCGCCCTCAATATCTAGAAAGACACAAAGAGCTATTTCTTTATCCTCCAGTGCTTTTTCGACCCTGTCAATGACACTGATCAGGGCTGTTTCCGTAGATTTGCCTCTGCGGTAAGCATGCTGGTTGTAATGTATGGGCCTCGTAGCTAGAGCTACATCCCTTATATATCTATCTATAACCTTTTCCAATGTCTTAAGAAGAAAGGAAGATAGGCTTATAGGTCTAAAGGACTTTGGTAAAGCGTAGTCCTTTCTACCAGCCTTAGGTATAAATAGTCTATATATAGTAATACAATTGTCCATCGTTCTGGAATATATCCCCATGCAAAGTTGTATGCTTGGGTTGGGATTTAATTTTTTATAGGATCCCAAGCAGATAGTAGCACCCAACCATCTTCTCTATTGAAATTAGGATGTTTTTTGCGAATCATCCTTGGAAGGAATCGGTGTTCCTTAGCGAGGATTTGTGGTCTATCAAATCTGATGTAGTGACGGGGGCGATCCTGTACGTTTTCACTGACTGCGGACTTCAAGTCTACAGTTCTTTTTTCTTTGAATTTATTTAAGAAATTTATAAATAGTTCCAATAGGGAAGCTTAAAAATAGTTTCAAAATCGGCATTTTCTTTACATACCAAATTGTTGTGCGTGAAGTTAGAGGTGATTATGGGATATGCAAATCTTTTGATAGACGGCGGTGTATTAATGTTTTTATCGTTAGACGTAAAATACCTAGATCGGACAGAAGGGACAAAGGTTTTCATATCTGGTGAAGTTATCAATTTACTTGCTAAGAGTGATGACGACGACAAATGTTTCTCTAGATGCTCATGTCCAATTAATCCACAGTTTACACTATTACCGGTTTTTATACCTTTTTACCTCAACACTAGGATTTTCTCTTAAATTGTGGAGGTAGTTTACATACTTGAATTTCACAAGAACAAACATCCAGACCCATTTGTAGGCCATACAAATACTTGTTCCGTGCGGGATTTGAACCCCCGGCCCTTAGCGCTGCAATTCATTGTTAAGTTATGGCGCCACGGAGCCGTCTAAGAACGGTTACGGTTACAGCCTACTAAAAACCACTGCTGAACATAAGCCTCCCCAATAGGTGTTGGCAACCCCAGTTTTTCTATTTTTAGTAAGACACTGCTGCCCATCTCCTAGGACATTCACGGGATGATATGGGGTATTCTTACACCACCGCTACACGGTAGTAGCGATTGAAGAAAAATAATTAAAGATTTCCTGTATGTGTGAACAGAGCAGCACCGCGGTGCAGTCATTGTTGGACGCGGAGGAGGCGGGTGCTGCAGGGCGCTATGACGCGACGCTGCCCTCGCCCGAGCATTGCTGCGCGCGCGCCGCCGCGCTGCACGAGCTATGTGCATTGCGCCGCCACCACCAGCCCGCGCTGCGCTCCGCCGCCGCAGCGCTGCTGGCGCGCACACATACACCGCTGCAGCACAGGTACGTACGCACACGCGCACCGCTGCAATACAGGTACGTAGGCACACGCGCACCGCTGCAGCACAGGTACGTACGCACACATACACCGCTGCAGCACAGGTACGTATGCACACGCGCACCGCTGCAATACAGATACGTAGGCACACGCGCACCGCTGCAGCACAGGTACGTACGCACACATACACCGCTGCAGCACAGGTACGTATGCACACGCGCACCGCTGCAATACAGATACGTACGCACACATACACCGCTGCAGCACAGGTACGTACGCACACGCGCACCGCTGCAGCACAGGTACGTACGCACACATACACCGCTGCAGCACAGGTACGTACGCACACATACACCGCTGCAACACAGGTACGTATGCACACGCGCACCGCTGCAATACAGATACGTACGCACACATACACCGCTGCAGCACAGGTACGTACGCACACATACACCGCTGCAGCACAGGTACGTATGCACACGCGCACGGCTGCAATACAGATACGTACGCACACGTACACCGCTGCAGCACAGGTACGTACGCACACATACACTGCTGCAGCACAGGTACGTACGCACACATACACTGCTGCAGCACAGGTACGTACGCACACGCGCACCGCTGCAACACAGGTACATACGCACACACACTGCTGCAGCACAGGTACGTACACACACGCGCACCGCTGCAGCTCAGGTACGTACGCACACATACACTGCTGCAGCACAGGTACGTACGCACACATACACCGCTGCAGCACAGGTACGTATGCACACGCGCACCGCTGCAATACAGATACGTACGCACACATACACCGCTGCAGCACAGGTACGTACGCACACGCGCACCGCTGCAGCACAGGTACGTACGCACACATACACTGCTGCAGCACAGGTACGTACGCGCACATACACCGCTGCAGCACAGGTACGTACGCACACATACTCTGCTGCAGCACAGGTATGTACGCACACGCGCACCGCTGCAGCACAGGTACGTACGCACACATACACTGCTGCAGCACAGGTACGTACGCACACGCGCACCGCTGAGGCACAGGTACGTACGCAAACCTACACTGCTGCAGCACAGGTACGTACGCGCACGCGCACCGCTGCAGCACAGATACGTACGCACACGCGCGCCGCTGCAGAACAGGTACGTACGCACACATACACTGCTGCAGCACAGGTACGTACGCGCACATACACTGCTGCAGCACAGGTACGTACGCACACGCGCACCGCTGCAGCACAGGTACGTACGCACACATACACTGCTGCAGCACAGGTACGTACGCACACGCGCACCGCTGCAGCACAGGTACGTACGCAAACGCGCACTGCTGCAGCACAGATACGTACGCGCACGCGCACCGCTGCAGCACAGATACGTACGCACACGCGCACCGCTGCAGCACAGGTGCGTACGCACACGCGTACCGTTGCAGCACAGGTACGTATGCACACATACACCGCTGCAGCACAGGTACGTACGCGCACGCGCACCGCTGCAGCACAGATACGTACGCATAACTGCACCGCTGCAGCACAGGTACGTACGCACGCGCGCACCGCTGCAGCACAGACCTTTATTTTTGTGCCTAGATTTCACCTGCAAAAAAATGACACAGTTTTGTATTTAGGAACAATGCAATGGCTGTCCCCCCCCCCCCCGCCGCGGTCCGCCTGTGGTCCGCGTTGTTCTATGTCACGGCCATAATCAACGTTTAAATGCGTGACAGGGATAGTCTCTACCTTCTCTTCGTCATCAGCAGATATAGTATGTAAGAAGGTACCAACTCAAATAAAACAAATATGACCAAGTAACTTGAATAATTAACATTATAGTTTTTTTTAATCTCGTGTCAAAAAAGTAATCTATTTTTCTGTTTAGGACACCAATACAAATCTACGAGGAGTACGACGGCTCGCAGATGGCGTTCAAACCAGCAATCCCACCTCCCAAACGGAACGAGCTGATCAACAAGCGACCGCAACACGCCCACGCGTGGGCACAGGGTGACTTCAAGAAACATTGTGAATCCATCGAGAATAGCGTGCAGTTAATTTTCAGCGAGAATGTAAGATGATTGTTTATTAAAATAAAGTAACAGAATATTTATATTTCATTTTATTTGAAACTGTTATCCAATATAATAATAGTACAACATATCGGTATTATACCAATGACGTTTTATTGCATGGAAAAAATAATATGGTGTGTTGAGTAAGTGGAATTTATCCTCGAGACAGGAGAGTATTTATTTAATATCATTGTGAGAAAAAAAAATCAGAATATACAAATTAATTACACATCAATTCATCAATGAAAGTTGGGTGTGGCTGAAGAAGCACGAAAGTAGAATAAACGCAGTAGAAATGCGGTCGTTATACTCCTTCTATGTTAGGGCTGAATCTGAATGACAGGGTGAGAAATTGTGTGATAAGAGAATAGTGTGGTTTGCAAGATGATGTTGTGACCAGGATTATGGAAGACATGCTTCGGTGGTTTGGTCATGTGGAAGAATGAATGAGGAAAGAATGACAAAGAAAATTTATGTTGCAGAAGTTAATGGCAGAGTCGGAAAGGGACGGGGAATGTATCGACCAAATTTATTGAAAACGGGTCAAATTAGGAATACTCTTAACGTAATATGCGTGGTTATATGGATGCGAAAGAGGCGAGGGAGATGTGTCAGGATCGTGCCAAATGGAAGTCTGTAGTGTCTGCCTACCCCTCTGGGTGACAGGCGTGAGTTTTTATGTACATTATATGTTGATCAATTCGTCCTACGTCACTTGCATAAAAGGTGAAACTAATAAATCACATCAATAATATTACAGCCTATCAAAATCCCCCACTGAACATAGGTCTCATAGAGGGGATTTTTGCCATAGTTACCACGCTAAGCGTCCGATGTGGCAGTGACAGTTTTTTTATTATTTTGTTTTGATATCAGGAAAATGCTGCTGCACATCTTCAGTTTTCCTGTCTAAAAAATATGCGTCGTTGTTAATTACTTGTGTTACTACTGTGGCCGAGGTAGGAGAAGGGGAGATCTCCCGCCGGGCAAGGTGTTCTGCCCGGGGAGCGGCTAACACTCCGTGTGGCAGTTCGGAGATGTTCTATATATACTGTTTATGATTCGGAATGTTGATAGCGTGATTTAGGCTTCGGTGTGTTTCGTTTGCGGCGCGACCACGGCGCCGCCACATCACCCCCTGCTCAGACCGGAGGTCGATAGTGCAGCCTCGTTGCCGACGAATGTGCAAGTGCCAGGAGATTTGCCTTGTAGTCTGCAGTGAGTCGAGAAGAAGGCAAGTAATCTGAGAGAGTGCCGTGAAGCAGAAGCGAGCAGTAAGGCTAAGACCCGTGCCGAACACTGTAGCGCAGAGAGTCGCTTGAAGGAACAGGAAGCATTATTATTCCAGTGCTGCGATGAACCTTGTGAAGCTAGATGGCTTGCAGGATATGAAGACTGCAGACGATATCTGCTCGGGAGCGAATGGGTGGGGTATTCTATGACGATGATGAAGCTTGAAGTTTCCGAAGATTGTTGGTTGCATATTCAGATCTCGTCGGGTGGTCACCACTCTGGCCGGTGGTAGGTAAAGGGGAGATCTCCCGCCGAGCAAGGTGTTCTGCCCGGGGAGCGGCCGACATTCCGAGTGGTAGTTTGGAGATGTTCTACATATACTGTTTATGATTCGGAATATTGATAGCGTGATTTAGGCTTCGGTGTGTTTCGCTTGTGGCGCGACGACAGCGCCGCCACACTACCATAGATAGAGAATAATATACCAGATTGGCGATGGAGTGATTAGGGCGAGACCAAAATCAAAATACAGCAGTGTACGTGTAATGCATAGTCTGTTCGCTTACATACGGTGGCCTTTGTGTCGCGCCGCCTCTTGCCACGTGCCGCATCGTGTCAAAGGCGCCGCCGTGACATCAAAGATCGCCGCGTGCGGCGTACAGACGTAGCAGAATTTGGCATTTTTAAACGAAGCGCCATAGTGAAGGGTTCTTTGCTACCTAACATGTATTTATTATTTATATTGGTAATTTGTTACAGTAACCATAGCCACCAAACAAAAAAGAAAACATTCATTTAACAAACACAGTAAAATATACTAAAATAAAGCAAAACAATAAGTGCGCCTCCCGGTGCACCGACACTATCTTAGTGAACAGACTATAGATTATACATGTGTGAGTGACTAATAGTGCTGCACCATGCATTACCTGCCTCAACTTCAATTATCGATACCCATTGCAGTATATTCGTGCCTTCTAATTTGACACAGATGACATAAGTGAATCTAATTACTCAACTCCGGCGATGCCAAAAGGATGGTTACGATTTGAGGCTGTCCTTCCATCTGTTCCTTCAGATGTTTTAAACTATTCATCGTAATCGACAGATTTATTTTTATCTAAAATAAAAATAATTTAAAATTTATTTAAATAACCCAATCAACATAAAAAAAACAGCATCTTTCATACAAAAATTCAGATTGTTCCCTATTCCATATTAAAATTGTTAACTATATTTATACTACTCATTCATGAAACTTGCAGCTAACTTCAAACAATGAAGGCTACGTCGTTGTCACCTCTACTGGCTGTTTTTTTGCACCCGAAGCAAATAAGGGCAACCCTCCGGTAATGGGGGAGGGAGGTGGAGAATACTCATAGCATATTATGTGGAGACTTTTACCCACTAAACTCCAACTTTTGGGTTTGGTTTACCGATCTGACGAGAGATCTTTAACCTTTTGAGCGCCATAGTCACCTATACTTGACAAGCACCTGCGAGCTCTGAGCGCCAACGACGTCTATAATTGACAAAAAACCCGCCCCACAAAAATATGAAATATAGATATTGGGAAGTAATTACTGGTATTTTAATTCTACACTCCTCAAAGAAGAATAACCTAGCAACATGTGAGTATATAAAACAAGTTCTAAAGCCACGAGTACTAAGAAACATCGAACTAAAAAAATGGATTTTTATCTAAGCAAATACTATGTCCAGCACGCCAAAGTCGTCTATGTGTGACCGCTAGTGTTGTAATGCGTTAGGCATAGATTCTATTGAAAATTAAACGCAAACGTGTTATTTTTTAAAATTATTATTGATATTTGAATAAAACAAAAGGTAAGAAACATAAAACTATCATCAGCTACATAAATAAAAGAAAATTTAATCAAATCAACTTCGCATAATAAATCTAATATCTCAACTCCGCATCCTTAGCGCGTCATCAATTATCAGTTCATTGGACGCCGTGGTCAAGTATAGACGACACCCTGATGACGTCATAAACGAATAGCGGGAAAAAGTAGTGCAGTGCAACATGAACGATTCCTCAGAACTCATTCGCATTTTGGAAAGCGTCGATGATGATGAATTTTTTTATTTTAATAATATAATAATAAATATTTATATTTTTCTTAAGGTATGACGAGCAATTTTACATTTTGTGTTGTGCTATTTTCTTTCTCAATATAGGGTATTGACTGAAACCTCTATTATATTTGCTGATGACATTTCCATTATTATGCAACAAAACAATTTATCAATTTGACCAGGTACAAAGTACATCACCCCACCAATTAATAAAACCAAAATTATGCAATTCCGACCAGTTCAAAAATCACCACTAAATATCGCTTTTACTTATAATAATATACCTATAGGAACTGTTGAAAACTTCAACTTGTTAGGCCTGGAAATCGACTGCCATATAAACTGGAAAGCCCATATAAATAAAGTAAAAAATAGGCTATCAAAATTCACTTACGTATTACGAGAAATAAAGCAAACCACAGATGTCCCCAGCGTTCTGTCAGCATATTACGCATACACATCTTCGTGGCTGTCATACGATGTCATGTTGTGGGGAAATGGTAAAGATTATAGCAGCACAGCAATTATTTATAATGCAAAAAAAAATTATAAAAATCTTGGCAAACATAAAAATTCTGAAAGTTGAACTTCAAAAAGTTTAAAATTTTGACTTTGTCGTCACTCGCGTCGTCGACGACTATTTATATTCGGGAAACATGCAAATTTGTAAAAGAACCACCCAGAACTATTTACCAAATTCAGTGAAACAAATTACAAATACTCAATTAGATCAAATGAAAATAGGTTACTATTGCCGAAATCTACTCTTGCTTTGCATAGCTCTAGTCCCTACAGTATGGCAGTTAAATTTTTTAATAACCTTCTAAATGACATAAAAAATTTAACGAGTAACTACATTATTTTTATCCAAATTAAAGTTATATTTCATTGAAAAATGTTTCTATAATTTAAATTAATATTTTGATACAAATATTATTTAATTTGTGTTGATACAAATATTATTTAATTTGTGTGGACAACTTCGGCCTGTGCCTATCTAATTTAATTTAATTTTTTTTATTCAATTATATTTTTTACTTAATTTTATTTTTATTTATAATAATAATAATATTTTTTTTACTTGACATTGTGATTATTAATTTAATTAAATTTACAGAATTTTAGAATAATATAATCTAATAACGTAATTTATTAATGAAATCTAATATTGTAGTTTAAAAATAATATTTTTATAATTGCTACGCCCAAACTGTGTTCAAATAATGTGGACTGTTTTTTTTAAAACATCACATCTATTGTTACCATTTGATTGCAATAAAGATTATGATTATGATTATCTCAAAATCATCTGGTAGCATCAGCATCATATGAAACCACCATTGTCATAAGAGGTAAGAATTTTCTTCTGTGCTTCACTTGGCCTACGCCTCCCCCGACACATAAAATATTTTGAGTCGATCTCTGCATATTTTGGTTAGATCGATTTCGAAATCGATACACAACGTGCGACACGGCTACATCTCTCAGAAAGTTTAAAAAAGGAAGGTCAGCTACGCCGTTATCGTCCAGTCGTGACAGTGACGTCATCACGATAAAGAGTAGTGTTGTGGTTTACTATTATTTTATTGTTATTGTTTGTTTTTATTTATGTACAAAGTACGTATATAAAAAAAGCGGAAGACAGCACAAGATTAAATAAAACATACCAGATTATAAAGAGTCATTTATTGCATAAAAAACCAACAAAATCAAGTTATTATGTGTTATCGATATATCAACTCTTGGCAACACTATTTTTTCGTAGGTATTTTTGTTCAATTTTCGCTTTGGCGTACAGGACACGGTAATGCGTTTTAGGCGTGGCGCTCAAAAGGTTAAGCCGTAAACGGACGCGACCATCCTTGGCAGAAACGTGGGCGCAAAAAATTTTAAGCTCTTGACTACCGTGCGGTGTACCGTATCTACTGTCTACTGACCTGACCGGCCTACTGACTGACTCACAGTGTATTTATACCGGTACTAAGTAAGAGGGTGATACCTACCCAGAAAAACTCCCAGACCATAATGTTATTAACGAGTACATTGAAAGGGGCTATATATCGCTTGCGTCACCAAAGATGGATAACTGTCGTACCGCATCACGTTGTCATTAGGGAAGACAAACTTACATCAAAGTTACGAGTGGTACTTGATGTTAGCGCTAAAACTGGCACCCGCCTCTCCCTTAACGACGTTCTTTATGGTATATATTTACAGGGCAACCTACTTAATATAATAGTAAATTTTCATTTGTTTCGTATTGCATTATCCGTTGATATTCGTCTATTTTTTCTTTGCATTGTTCGTGAATGCGACCGTCGATTCCAGCTTTTTTTATCGAGACTCTAATGGTGTTTGAATTTAACCGCGTTTGCTTTGGTTTAAAGTTAAGTTCATTTCATGCACTTCGCACTGTGAAGCAGCTCGCTGCTGATGAGGGCTCCTCTTACCCTAAGGCTAAGGAGGCAATTAAGAGTGATCTGTATATGGACAATTTCGTATACTCAGTTGATAACGAAGAGGAAGCAATCTCAACCACCGCCGAAGTTATAAAACTCATGAATCCATGTCAATTCGATCTCATCAAGTGGACGAGTAATTCGCGTACTGTTTTGAATACAATCTCACTGTCACATCACATCGTCTTTCGGCTATAAAATAATTTGAAAACTCCGATTCGCACGAGATGCTCGGTTTGAGTTGGTCGCCTGAGTCAGATGTATTTAGTCTTAAGGTAAACACGCCCGCTGAGACCTGCACAAAGCGCACGATATCGTTATGTCTTGCTTGATTATCGGATGTCATGGGAATTGTAGCAATTTTTGTAGTTTTAAGCAAAGGCTAAGCATGGGATGCTAAGCTACAACTGTGGTTAAGTGAATTGGGGTGACACGCCGCCTGATAACATTGCTCGTTCGTGGCTACGCTTTAGGGAGGAACTATCTTTACTAAGTGAAATTAAAATACCACGTCATGTAAATATTAGAATCTTCTCTATTCATTATTTTGCAAATTTATTATTTTGAAAATCTGCCACAGTATCCATTTACCATCAGGTGAACAGTGTCCGTTTGTTATCCTAATTCTAATAAAAAAATCGTACAATAAGAATAATAAATAGCTACAGAACTTTAAAAATTAAAGAACATTACGAAGTTGAATAAGGTTGCGTGCAAGGCATACCTTTGCTATTTAAGGACATTTCGATACTGTATTATCGATAGTGTCAATCTCTACAAAAATCAGTTTAGAATTAGCAGGACTTCACGTATTTGTAATTATTTTAAATTGAATTCCTTTGCATTCAGATCATTGATACTGTTAGCTACACTCGACTTCTCGTGAAACTTAGAAAAGTCAGCTCTGAAAAGAGTTAGGAGTTATTATCAGCTTGAAGTATGATATTTTTCTATAAGGTTATTTTCGAGATGTTTGTGCTATTAGCGTATGCGGCTCTTAACAGGTCTCGCGGCCTGCTAGGCCGCGTAAGAAGCTGTTTTATGAATTTATTAATACACGTAGCAGGAATACAGATTCGTCCTACTTGAACGATGAGAAGAAATAGGAGTAGGACGCCTCGCACTAAGTCACGGCGTTTTTACACCTCTGCCGCACACTTGGAATGTTCGCTGATATTTAACGACCAATCACATGTTATTTAATAATAAGATTTTTATTCGATGCTGTAATTTTAAGACTAAATATTTTAATGTAGATATTATGATTGGTCAAAAATTTTGTACATTTTGTTAATTTTTAGTATATAAGAAGTAACCTTTATACAATAAATTGATCTAATCCTAGTGGGATTAGGCCTATTAGGATACTCATTCTACTATTTACAAGTTTTCCATTTAAAATTCATTCCAATCTTTAAAGTGGAACCTATTTCTTGTAAAGCGCTGACCCGTAATATCAAAGTGATTACCCCGATAGGTCAGCAAAGTCGTGACCTCCGAACGAAGAATTCTGAAGAAGTAGAACAAGATGAATCTCTGCTGGAAACAACCCGGGAAGAAAATCGTCGGACCAGCCACGATGGATGATTCAAAGAACATCAGCGAAAACTCCGACAGCCAGTCCACCGAGGTGTCAACCATTGCGCTTTCGAAGCAGCCACCGACAACCCCCATGAATCTCATCGCAGATAGCGCAGATGGTGCTTGTCAAGCTAGAGAAGGCCGACTTCGAACAAATCTCTGACATCCTATTCAACGTTACTAAAGAGCAGCAGTACAACGCTTCCATTATATAATACAGAATACTTACATTATATTATAATATAGAAGCTTACATTCGTGATATAGAAACTAACATAAACAAATCACCGAAAGTTGTCTGGAACTTTGTCAAGAGTAAAAAATCTCCAAATTCATATCCTTCTCATATGAAATTCGGACAGTATTCTTTAGGCAAAGGTGACGTAATTTTTGATTTTTTCAATCAGTTTTTTAAGTCTAACTTTTTTACGATTCCGACACAACTAATTTTAATATTATTGACACGAAAATTGATCAATCCCTTGTTGATATCAATTCCATTGAAGTGAAAGAAGCAGAGGTATCTAGACTTTTAAAGGCATTTGACCATCTTTCCCAATTTCGCTCACGGCTCAAGTGGTTACCTATCCAATTTCACCGGAACATGCATATTCTTTCTATTCTGTACTATGTATAAATTATTATTATTATTATTCTGTACTATGTCTTATTTTCCACATGACATGAACGAATGAATGAGGAAAGAGTAACAAAGAAAATTTATGGTGCAGAAGTGAATGGCAGAGTCGGAAAGGGACGTCCTAGGCGAAAATTTATCGACCAAATTGGCGATCTATTGAAAACGGGCATAATTAGGAGTACCCTTAACCGACGAGCATGTATGCGTAGGTGTATGGATGTGAAGGAGGCAAGAGAGGTGTGTCAGGATCGTGCCAAATGGAAGTCTGTAGTCTATGCCTACCCCTCTGGGTGACAGGCGTGAGTGTTTATGTTTGTATGTATATGTCTTATTTCACCCCCCCAAGAAGTTTAATTTTATTGGGCTTCCAGGGGAACCTCTACGCTCTTCAAGAAAACTCATTTTAAGGGTACCAACTCACAATACATCTTTCTTTAATAAATCTTTTACTGTCCAGTCTATTAAGCTCTGGAATGCCCTACCTTTGCATATACGCGAAGCACAAACTATTGTAGTCTTTAAGCGACTTCTTATTCTTAAAGAGCATTACTTGTCTCAATCGTTCGAACATCACTAGGATAAATTATGTGATTAAGTAAGTATTTTTATTTTGTATTTATTTGTTTATGTTATTGTTTGAGGAATATATTTGTGTGTGTATATATATATATATATATATATATATATATATATATTATATATATATATATATATGTGTGTGTATGTTTGTGTATATACGTACGTATATGTGTATCATATTTTTCAATGTATTATTTATATGTTATATTATATGCGGCGATATTGCATGTATTGATATTATATTAGGTATATTACATGTAATCTTCTCTTTGTTATATTCTCTGTAAATTTGTTTGTGGTGTACAATAAAGTATATTCATCCATTCATTCATATCCCGGCGATCTTAATCGTACGTTGGCAGACTCCCTTACTTTGCCACTGAGCATCCTGTACCGCCGTTCCTTAAAGGAAAGCATGTTTCCAAATAAATGGAAAAGTGCGTTTATTACTCCGATACATAAAAAGGGACCTAAGAAGAGGAGGATGACAAAATTATCTTCCCATTTCTAAGCTCTGTTCATTCGCTAAAGTACTTGACAAAAATATTTTATAACCAGGTGTATTCTTCTCTTCGCCACACATTTAGTGAAAATCAACATGGTTTCTTCAAAAACAGATCCACCGTGTCAAACCTTGTTATTTGTTCAGACTAACTAACTAGCTTTGTGTCTAAACAAGCACAAGTAGATGTAGTCTGTACAAATTACTGCAAAGCATTCGACAGAATTGATCATTTAATTCCTTTAAGTAAACTCCTTGCAATGGGTATCAGGGGTGATTTGTTCAGATGGTTTAAGTCATATATCAGAAAATCAGAAATCGACGTCAATCTGTCGTCCTTGGTAGATATCGTTCGTCTACAATCCATATATAATCTGGCGTACTGCAAGGATCCCTATTGGATTCTTTGCTCTTCTTATTTTTTATCAATGATATCGACATGTGTTTTAAAAGATCCAAGATTATTCTCTACACTGACGATATGAAAATCTTATGTACTATTACAGATTTGGAAAGTTGTTCTAGCCTCCGAAAGGATCTCTACAATTTAGAAGCGTACTGTTCTAGCAACAAACTTGATCTGATTGTTACTAAATGTTTTATCTGCTCATTTACTCGTAAACCTAATCTGTAATACATAATTATAAATTACACCATACATCTCCAAATAGATCCAGCACTATCAGAGATCTCGGTGTTACATTTGACTCAAAACTGCTGTTTGTGACAATCACGTTAATGATATTGTTACAAAGGCTAATAAAGCGCTGGATTTTATATTAAGATTATCGGCAGATTATAAAAGCTTTTTATACCTTTAAGGTTTTTATACCTTCAAAATTCTATATTGCTCTTTTGTACACAGCCATTTGGAATATGCCTCTGAAATTTGGAATCCTAAATGTAATGTGTACGTTGATAGGATAGGGCGCATACAAAAAAGATTTTTGCGTTTTCTTCAGTTTAAATCAAAGCGTATACCCAGCTATACTCTTCAATGTAAAAAAAATCACACCTTACCTTTATATGAGCGAAGAAATATTGCAGATCCGCTCTTTAGTCTTTAAAATTGTTAATGATAATGTTGATTGTCCTGAACTACTGGGTATTATAGGTTTACGTACCTCATTATGTTTTGCAGAAACCTACACATTTAAATGTAACATGCGTGAAAAGTAATTACAGACAACTCTTTTATTACTTGATCATGCAGATCTTTTAATTATACAGCACATATTCACAACATAGATATTGACTTATTTCATTCCAGCGTTCCCCAACTTGGCGTTCACTTTCTATCAACTTCTTTTCTTTTTGATAATGTTCTTTATATAAAGTAACATATAAGTGAAAACTTGAAAAAAGGCCTTCATTTTTGTTATAATTATATTATTTTTCTAAATTAGTTGTAAGTTTTTCAAGCAAACAAAAATAAAATAAAATAATAAATGACAACCACACTGTGTTACAAATATGGACAGATGAGAGATGCCCGTGGGATAAGATGGTCGCTTCGTAATTTGTCATCTGGGATACGCCGGAGGTGAATTTGTTGGAAAATACAACTACTACACAAGTGATCACTGGACGAGAGTGAAGAATAAAACAAAGAAAATTGTTATAGACGACTGTGAAAGACACATTTATTTTGAATGCATTTACTTTGGGTGCACGCTCAAGTTTTTGAATGAAAAAATCATGTTTCATTCATGCCCTCTTGTTAAGGGTACTCGTATCCTAATTATTTTGCAACTTAACTATATTATAAATCATAATATAGGTACTATAATTGCAAAATGTGTAGTTATAATTTATAATACATGCTGTCAGAGGAGTGCCGCTGATGTATAAGCCTCGGGTGCTGTTGACCTTAATTCACCTCTGATAATAGCTCAACTTTTTGTAGTGAAAGTGATTTAATAAATTTGTTTTTAATATAGTGCAGTTCTTAATTAGAATCTTATCTCTAGAAATTAGCAGTAAGCAATAAACATAGACTTAGGACAGTAATAAACGAACATAGTGTGCAAGTAAAAAGAAAATTCCAACCTTGGGTTGAATGAATGGTTTAAGTGGGCATATGACAAGTCTATGGTTCATAGATTCTATGTCTACGGTCTTTGTCGTAACAGAGTATCCAATAGATAGCGTGATATATTTTCTGTGTTCAAGGGGGACAGTCTTCGGTCTATTCTTCGGAATTTGCCAATACTAGCAGATACTCAATCTGAAGTTAATCTCTAAAATAATGTTGCGCGCCATAATTAATGTCTGGTACATGGCGACATTAGTTACCACTAGCGCCCTGTAGTATCGAGTGCAAAACTAGCAGAGTCAAGATCCTTTTAGATATTTCCATGCCAAAACTTTCTACACCTAGTCGTTCGGGACCGGTATGTACTCGAACATTCTAGATATTTTAGTAGAAGAGGCCCTATATAAGACCGGTATGGACCGCGAACCGCATCAGTGTTAGTTGGCAAGCGAATACTTCGAAGCGATATAACTGCGAACTAAAGTGATCAGTAGTACAATTGTGTTTTATTATTAGTTTGGTTTAAAGTTGTAATTAGTGCTGTGTAATTAAAGTGCTTTGGTAATTCAATCGGCAGTTTTTATTGTTACGAACCCCAATCTCGTAACAATAATATTTATGGCCGAGTACTGTATAAATGTTGTGCAACGGAAAGAAACAGCTGTGATCCTCACTTTGGTGGACATTTTAATAAACTAATACACTACCAAGTAATAAATAAAAGTATGTAATATTAATAAGAAATGTATTTACACTTTACATTCAAAATCACACAAAAATTATTGTAAAGTTAATAATGGAAGGATGATTCAAAATTTAAAGCTTCTCTACGCGAATCAAATTAACTAAATGTTCAGCAGTGGACTCGGCGGGTTCCGGTGTAGCCTATCAAAAGTCCACTGGTATACTATAATACACAATAGAATGGCTGTCAACCTTATTTTATAACGAGGTTCGGCGTCGCCGAGAGCACATACAAGCAATTACATCGTATTATCAGTTAATCACTACTACAAACCCGATTAGCTGTGTTGACAGATGGATTTTAATACATATTTATTTGTAAATTTGGCATTTTCTAAATAATTTGCATGCGAAATTTAGAAAATATTGTAACGTCCAAACACATCTCGTGTTGACATTTATACGTGTGTATTGACGTGTTGTGGCATTTTAGTGGCTACACGGGCTCCACCCACTCCCCCGTTCTATTATATATGTATTATAGTATTCTATGGGTATACATGTGCCCCCCACAGATTGCCTCATGGGGCGATATTTGCCACAGTTGCCACGCTTGGCAGGCGAGTTGTTATCCGCAGGTTTTTACTTTTTAGTTGTTGTCAGGAAGACGCTGATGCCCATCTCCTGGTTGGTTATCCTCAGTTAAACATTGGTCTAGTTTCTCGTTCCAGACGCGAATAGTGTCTCGAACAATGGCTATCCGTTTCTCTTTGGCTTCCTCAAGGACTTCTTTAGCTTCTTGTTTTTGTAGTTCGATGTATTCGCACATCGCACTCAACTTACTGCGCCAGCTGGAATTATAGAAAAATCCATTAAGTTTTTTTTCTTGGCCAGGGCCGGTGAATACAAAATCTTACGATTTCATATATAAACGCGAATAGTAGGTACACATTCAATCAAATTTACTTTGTAGATCATGTTTCTTTTTTAATTATTTTTACATGTAGTAAGTATGCAAGTAAATAATTACGCTAGGTCTTGCTTCTCCCAGAACTCGAGCTCACTCTCCAACTTGGCGTGATGTTCCTGATCGCTCTGCAGCTCCTCCAGTTTCTTACTGATCTCCAACTTCTCACTGCTCCAGGCCGCCTCTTCTGCACTCTCTTTATTATCTTCGTTATCAAGTAGCTGTTGTTCGCGCTCCACAAAGGACTTAAGCTCTGCTAACTTCGATTGGGCTTCCTCCTGCAATATAAAATACATTGTATAGTTGTAGCACGAAGACGGGGAACACCACAAATAACGTAGTTAATCTGCTGTATTCGTATGTGAGTGTAGAGACAACGACACCATCCAGCCCACGGGACGCATCATTTGATTTTTAATGGAGGATAGATGTAGATGTCTATGGGCGCAGCAACACACCGCACAAAAAAAAAAAAAAAAAAAATATAAAAAGACACACACACACACACCACACACACACACACACGCACACACACACACACACACACACACACATATATATATATATATATATATATATATATATATATATATATATATATATATATATATATACATACATATGTATACACCTGCAAGGTCACGCGAAGTAATCTATTATCTTATTTTAATCCACACCCCTTTGGTGAAATAGAAGTGTCCGAAGGATTTTACACCCCGGAAGATTAAGTGGCGGTATAACTTTCATGACTTTCATTACGGCGGAAAATCATAATTAGTTTTATTTAAATAATACCAGCGCGTGTTGCCAGTGATGACTAGGGGATCTGAGCCGTGGTCCTTCACTGCTGGCCGTATGAGGGAGCTCAAGGTTGGTCAGCGAGCTATGGAGATGGAGAGGACTATGCTCGGGGTTTCTCCACGTGATCGCATTAGAAATGAGGATATCCGTAGTAGAATCAGAGTCACCGATATAGCTCAACAGATTAGTAAGCTGAAGTGGCAACGTGCCGGCCATATAGCTCGAAGAACCGACAACCGATGGGGAAAAAAGGTTCTCGAGTGGTAGCCTCGTACTGGTAGGCGTAGAGTACGGCGACCCCCACTAGTTGGAGTGACGACCTGGTAACACATGCAGGAAGTCGATGGATGCAGGTGGCTCAGGACCGTGCTTTGTGGCATTCTTTGGGGGAAGCCTATTTTCAGCAGTGGACTTGTGAATGGCTGTAATGATGATGATGATGATGAATAAACCTAACCTAACCAGTAATTTTTGAAGTCGAGCTGGTTTAGCTTGGGCTATTTTGAACTTCCAACTATGAAAATCAATAATTTAAAAAAAGTTAGTAGTAATATGTCGGTTTGTGTGTTAGTGTGCGTGTGTTTGTGTGTAGTATTCGCGTGCGTGTGTTCGTATGCTGGTTCGCATACGTGCGTACGTGTGTATATGTGTGTGTGCGTGTGCACGTGTGTGTGCGCGTGTGTACGTGCGTGTGTACGTACGTGTATGTGTACGTGCGTGTGCATGTGTACGCGTGCGTGTGTACGCACCAGGCGGCGGGCGCGCTGTCTCTGGCGCGCGGCTCGCTCGGCGGCGCGGTGCGCGCGGGCGCGGGTGAGAGCGTCTACTCGCTCGCGCAGCGCGGCCACACGAGCAGCTACATTCTCAGCGATCTCCGCGCCCATCAACTCCCTGACGAAAAACGAGAGAAACTCGTTTTTAGCAGTAAACTAAGCAATGAGTTGCAGCAATTCCTGCTCGGAACAATTATTTGTATAACCTACAAATAAAAGAAAAGAGCCATGAGCAGAAAAAATTATGCTTTTACAAAAAAGATGTGTCGAGCCTTCAGAAACTACATTTTCGTACCAGAAACAGTGGCGATCGATACGTGATCAGAGTACTTAATCCATTGGAATTCCCCGACAACGAATTTCTACGCCGGTTTTGTATGCTCAAAGATTGTGTAAAGACCAAAGACCAGTGCATATTAAAGGAAGCATCTATTACAACCACCTTGTGAAAAAACATCGTATAACTGCAATCAATACATGTGGCTAACTTATCTTACTAGGTTTTTTTTTCTAGGTACTTTACATCTATCAGTCTCTTAGCAGATGGTAGTTACCAAAGAGGTACGAGTCAAGATCACGGAATGGCTGTTGCTTAACCTTTTGAGCGCCAAAGTCCTCTATACGTGACCAGCACCCGCGGGCCCTGAGCGCCAACGACGTCTATAGTTGACAAAAAACCCGGCACATAAAAATATGAAATATAGACATTGGAAAATTATTACTGGTATTTTAATTCTACACCCCTCAAAAAAGAATAACCCAGCAACATGTGAGTATAAAAAACAAGTCTCCTAGAGCCACAAGTACTAAGAAACATTGAACTAAAAAAATGGATTTTTATCTAAGCAAATACTATGTCCAGCACGCCAAAGTCGTCTATATTTGACCGCTAGTGTTGTAATGCGTTAGGCATAAAGTTATTGAAAACTATTCAAAATTAAGGTTAAACGTGTTATTTTTTTCTATTATTATTGATATTTAAATAAAACAAAAGGTTAGAAATATAAAACTATAATTAGATACATGAATTAAAAAAAAATTATCAAATTATCTTCGCATAATAAATCTAATATCTCAACTCTGGCGCATCCTTAGCGCGACATCGAAAATCAGTTCACTGGGCGCCATGGTAAAGTATAGACGACACGCTGATGACGTCATAAGCGATTAGCGGGAAAATTAGTGCAGTGCAACATGAACGATTCCTCAGAACTCATTCGGATTTTGGAAAGCGTCGACGATGATGAATTTTCGGAAATTTAAAATTATCGTGAAACCAAAGTTTTTCATTTTCGATTAACTCTACCTCAATGAGGTAGGAATACACTTTATAGTCTTTTTTGCGGTTAATTTCTTTTTTTATAGCATAGGGTAATAAACGAGCACACAGTCCACCTGATGGTAAGTGGTTGCTGTAGTCCATAGACATTTACATCTATCCTCGATTACTAATCAAAATGCAGATGCGCTTTCACCCGTGAGGACTTAGATGGAATGCCTCGTTTCCTGTAAAGAGCATATCCGGTTCTCTACACTTACCATACGAAACACAGCAGCATTAAGCTACTATTTGACGCCGGTATTCCGTGAGAGCGTGGTTCTTCCCCGGTTGAGCCGACCCATTCGTGCTACAACTACTCTCCCGTAATATAACTGCAGCATGGCTCTACCACGTTAGAAAATTTGCTTTGGACAGCTAAACATTTATGTTTTATTATTCCATAAGATTTTTATTATTTTAAGACTAATATTACCTTTAATTTATTAATTATTTTTAATTGTTGTTTTCTATATTAAGCACTGATTGAGTTAAAGACCAAGATTTTAATATTTTAAGACTAGACCTAGTGCAAATAATTATTTACAATTGTTGATTAGTTAATAATTATGTACCTTTTTTTATTTTAATAATATAAAATTACAAATAATAAATGTGTTTTCTTTACTTAATGTATGAAGAGCAATTTTTCATTTTGTGTTGTGCGATTTTCTTTATCAATCTCAAAATCATTTAGCAACATCAGCATCATATGAAACCCCCATTGTCATAAGAGCGTAAGACTTTTCTTCTGTGATTCACTTGGCCTACGCCTCACCATAAAATATTTTGAATCGATGTCTGTATATTTTGGTTAGATCGATTTTGAAATCGATACACAACGTGCGACACGGCTACATCTCTAAGAAAGTTTCAAAAAGAAAGGTCAGCTACGCCGTTGTCGTCCAGTCGTGACAGTGACGTCATCACGATGGCGAGTAGTGTTGTGGTTTACTACTATTTTATTGTTATTGTTTGTTTTTTTATTTATATACAAACTACATATATAAAAAGAGTGGAAGACAGCACAAGATTAAATAAAACATACCCGATTATAAGGAGTCATTTATTGTAATGATTTCTTATATTTACGCGAACATTGCACATGATTAAAACTACTTTTACGGATTTTATCGCGTTTATTTTTACTTGTTAAAGCTGAAGGTACTCCGGGTTTAACAATGACATCGGGACGTCAGTCATCTCAGTCCCCCGTGACCATGGGTGCTGGAAAGCGCCCGAAACGTCGGGAATTAAAAATAAAAAGTAAAAATAAACGCGATAAAATCCGTAAAAGTAGTTTTAGTCATTTATTGTATAAAAACCAACAAAAACAAGTTATTTTGTGTTATCGATATATCAACTCTTGGCAGTACTGTTTTTTTCGTAGGTATTTTTGTTTACTTTTCGCTTTGGCGTACAGGACACGGTAGTGAGTTTTTGGCGTGGCGCTCAAAAGGTTAAACAACATATAATCAGCAAATACTTCACCAACGTTATTGGTGCTATCATAAGAATGTGAGGGACAATATACTTTAATTAGCCTCTTGTGTAGGTAAATACAATAATTTTCGGTACATCTACTTATTTCATTTTATTTTTAACTAATATCGAAGTGGATATCATTTCCGGGCGTAGAACAAGCAAAGCAAAGTGTAAAACAGCATCCATGTTGATATATTTCGCCTACCATTCCCGATTGAAGTTCAGTACAAGAAAAGGGCGGTCTACAATAAATGTTCAACTGGTAACGACAAACAAATTATAGTTTTAAAAAACCCGTTCTAAAACCTAATAATCATTTTTTTAAATAAGAAATTATATATATAATATATATATACATCCCGTAACTTATTGTACGTCCACTATGGCGAATTTTGCATATAATGTGGCGTCAACCTGCTTACGACGTCCGATATACGGACGTCAAATAGGAGACTTAGCGCATTGTTCGCAGATTGTCATGCTGATCATAGAAATGTCAAAATCTAAAAATAAAATTGGACGTCATTTTTCTTCCAATCTCGCTGTACTGAATATTTTCGTAGTTCCGCTAGTTTTCGTAGCAAAAATAATAGCGCTGCTGTCTATTTGTGAATACTTTCATTCATGGCCGTATTTGACTTCCGCACAAAATTAGGGGATGCGACGTTGCCGTTCCGTTCAAATAAGTTTTAAACAAACAAAATCACATTACTTCGTTTTGTTTTGTCGTTGTTAGTATACGCGCGTTGTGTGTAAGCTCGCCGCATTTATTTTATTTGAGAAGTGACGTCCGCCTCGCTAAGCAAAATGACTAGTAAAAGTAGTCGTTTACGACTTGAATGATCGACCGAATGCCCAGTACGTACGTAGTGTTTACACCCACCACTTTTCGTCATACAAAAATATAGCGGATCAGCATTTCACTCAAAGCCCTCCCGTAAAAAGTTTCACTTCAAAAAAACTGTGGTTGCCAACCCGCTTGCCAAGCGTGGCAACTATGGCAAATATTCCACCTATGATACAATCTATGAGAAGGCCTATGTGTTCAGCATTGTACTTTAATAAGCTGTAACAGTGACGGTATAATTTATTACAGCATAACATTGAATATACAAAAATTATATATTAACATACATTTTAAATATTACATCTAAGATAACAATAAGATTAGAACCTCTGACTTCTAATCTAGAATAATCTATGTAATTCATTAAATACATGTTGCACTCGTAGTACAGTTTGCGGTTATGGTACGATTGTCGTTTGCACATTCAGTAGCAAACCATTACTATTGATATCGATATCTGAAAACGGTTTTCAATAACGATATGAAAACTAGATATCGGTTACGTAACCGTTGCAGATAAGAACTGAAAACGCCCATGCTTACTGCTTATACAATAAAGATGTTAGTTAGGTATTTATAGTAGGTACTTACTTACACCTTACACTCTGAAATAAAAAATAAAGTGCTTTTAGGGTCGATCCTCATTTGCCGTTCACAGTTCGTTCTCGGTCCGCTCTCGGTCTGACTTATTATAATGGAATGGGATTTGACCGAAATTGACTATTACGGATAGTATGAATGCACACACATATTTTTTACTTGATAATATTTTAACAGACCGAAATCTGATCGTTAATGAACTGTGAGCGGCATTATAATGAGGATCGGACCTTAATGTTCCATAAAAAGTTTATTTTAAAAAATTTTTTTTTTAAAACAAGTCAAGTCAAGAACAAAATACTTTTAAGATACTTTTGCGGAAAACAAGGGCAAGGAGGAGTGAAATGCTATATCTATATCTTTTATTTTGAAAGTCAGGCTTCTTTCAAATTTTGTTCATTAGTTAATTTTTAAAAAACGTGGCGTCTAGATCATTTTTAAAAATTTGTAAAAATAATCTGAGGGGACTTATAACTGTGCTAGAAAGATGACGGTTTTTTGAAACCTTGAATAAATATTCTAAATAGGTTGATTTAAGCCTACAGATAGATACTGAAACTCAAAGTTCAAAATATCGAAGTCTAGAATTTTATGTAATTTAGAAGTGAATTCAAGCCGAATATGCTGCTTACTGTACTTTTACTAACCGATAACCGATGGGGAAGAAAGGTTCTCGAGTGGCAGCCTCGTACCGGTAGGCGTAGTGTAGGGCGACCCCCCACTAGATGGAGTGACGACCTGGTAAGACATGCAGGAAGTCGATGGATGCAGGTGGCTCAGGACCGTGCTTTGTGGCATTACTTGGGGGAGGCCTATGTTCAGCAGTGGACTTGTGAAGGGCTGTAATGATGATGATGATGATGATGCT